AAAATGAACTGAAAGGATTAACATGTGCTGTGTGATATCCATCCTACGATTTTTTATTGAACTGGTCCAACGCAACAGGGCCCAAACTCCTTAATAAATAACCGTCCTTTCTTTTCACAATATAAGTAAACTTTTTTTTTTTTTTCTAATCAATATAAGTAAACTTTGTTAGTTTTTTTAAAAATATCTTTCATAGTGTTATTTTTTATGAATAATTTAAAATACTCTTTGGATGATGAAAATCATTAAATAATTTTATGTTTACAAATATTTTATATATTTTTTATTTAATGGTTTTATTATCTTTTTAAAATTTTGTTTGGGCAACTTTTGTAATTGATAAATATTTTTGTTATTTTGATACTTTTTTTGGTTATTTTTTACAGGTAAATTCTATCTCTAAAATGAACAAGTATTATATATACTCGGTTATATAACAGGATTAGTAGTTTATTTGAAAAAATAAAAAAATAAGATGTTATATATTTTTACAATTTTTAACAAAAAAAAATAATAGAAACAATTTTTTTTTTAAATAAATAAATTTTGTTGACCAAAAAACTAAAATTTTAAATATTCTCTTTGTTCAAGAGAAAAATACTCTCACCTTGTTTCTATTTTAATTATTCCGTTCACCTTATACCATTGAGTAAAATTTTATAGGACGTTCATGGAATAATTTAATTTATTATTTATAAATGAGATTAATATAAAATTTCATTGGATGATAGAAATATTTTAAACAAATATCTTTTAACATTTCTAACGGAAAATAGTGGGTAGTACGTAAAATGATATTATACTATTACTTTTAATATATAATATTACAATTCATATATATATATATAGTCTTTAGTTCTACTGTAAACCAATATTTTTCTTAACGTTGTTTATGCCAATCAAACTTGGGTTAGGCTAGATTTCTCGAAGGAAAAAAAAAAAGAATTTAGAATGAGGAATGCATTTTTATAAAGGTATGATCTATAAAATTATTTGTTCCTGTTAGGGAAACACTAATCTTTTAGTTTCTGCCATGAAATGATGACGTCCCTCTGACTATTGCTGACGTGAGGAAGATACCTGCAAAAAGCATTCCGATGCTGAAGTTAGAATTTGGTTCTGAGTAATAAATACTATTTAATAATAAAAAGTCAACCACTTATCTGTATTCCTTACCTTTTTTTTATATGTTTTATCTTTAATTTTAACTTTTTACTTAAAGTAGATAATGCTTTAATTATTACCTTTAATTAAATTAATTACCTTTAAATTTTAACAAGAGATTTTCGACCAAATTGAACTGAATAAGTACTCAGTTTCTTTTTTTTTATATGTAGGACCGAGTCCAGTTCCTATCCCTATTTAGTACATTGTTAATTATCATCTGATCTTAGATTTATCCCTGCAAATAGCACCTCGTGGAATACATGGAAAGTCTCCAATAATGATGAATAATTAGGTGGAAGCCATGCAATAATGAAAGAACTAGTAAATTAAAGTAAGGTGGATTCCCATAGTTAAGATCAAATTGGGCTTATAATGTTGAGTTTTCTACTTCTAAAATAATCCAATTTCCCTTTTACTTCTTCAGTCCATGCAAGATTCTCTTGAGTTGCAGAAATACCATGCACTTGGGGATAAAGGCACTTTGAAAACAAACTAAGAGATTACATGGCTTTTGTTTTTATTATTATTATTATTGGATGCGAATCTTCTGCAGTACATAACACTATCACTAAAAAAATTATTTACTTACAAACAAAGATGGTTAATTAAGTGTTAAGATAGTTTTTCTATTGATATAATTTTATTTAATAAAAAATAAATTATTCATATAGATTTTAAAGTTTTATATTGACAAATAATATATTATACTAACATATAATATTTTGATAATATATAATATTTTTTTTATTTATAAAATTACTTATTGGTATAATATATATTATTATATGTATAAATTTTTTAAGCTTACGATAGTAATTTATATTTTGTTAGATAAAGAATGTACTAACAAAAGTTATTAGGCATTTGAGGATTTTTTTTTTTTTGCAGTGTATATTTAAATAATCATAAATTTATATTTACTTCAATATTATTAATTATAATTTTTAAGCTTGATTCGTGCTTACAAATTTTTTAGCATATGCTAAAGCAACTAGATAAAATGTACATGCTAAAATTTGTTTAATTTATGATGAAATAAAAATTATAAATATAATTTAATAAAAGTTGGCCATTACATTAATAACTAAAAGCATCTTGAAAATTGTAGGGGATCCATATATGACCCTATTTTTCTCCCTTGAGCACGTAGAGGATATTTGATTTTTTAAAAAAGAAATCTAGTCAAAAAATTTGAAAACCATTATAAGGGAAGATCAAGCTTTTGAATGATGATCGTAATTGCATGGTTTATGGATGATAAAGAAACTCTAATGTGTTGATTGAGACCATTGATTCTTTAAAGTTGGCGTTTATTAATAAGGATATAGCTTTTGCAGTTCTACAATGGAATGAGGATGATTGCATGGTTTATTGGATGCTTATGGAAATGTTGGAATGCTTTTGCTTTACGTGTTGCGTCCTCTTTGTGAAGCCAATATATATATATAATGTATTCTAACCAAACTTACAGCTTTTTAAAAGAATACATAATTAATCATCACAACTTGAAACCTGTTTCCGAGGGTGCTCGTCATCAGTTACATAAATAAATAAATAAATAAATATATATATATATATATATATATTATATTTTATTATTTACAGAAATTTTAATCGTTAGATTATTTAATTTATACGATTAAAATTTAGTATAAATTTAACTTGTTAATAAATCCTAGCTCTTGTTTATATTATATATATTATTATAAATAATATATACTATATTAACTACATAATTTTCTTTTTCTAATTATAATATAGGCTAATAGCTTACATAATGACATGATAGAGGCAAACTTTGTATACAGTAGCATTAGTAATTGATATCTTATTTGTGGATTTGGCCACTCCGTATCAATAAATATTTATAATAGTAACGATATTAGAGTATTAGTCGTAGTTTAAGTTCTATTAAATTTATTTGGAAAAAATGATTATATTAATTATAATGAATAATCTATTTTTTTAACAACGATTTAATTTTTATACTTATAAATAAAACATCAATTTATTTTTATATGTAAAATAAAAGTTTTTATTCTTAAAAATAGTATTTTAAAAATTATCTTAAAGATACTTTTAGAAAATAATTGTTTTCTTCCTTGTGTCGTGTCATTTTTTTAATTGAACATTTTAACTTTTTAAATTTTTAATCTTAATTTAAATTTTTAATATTTTTATAATATTAAAATGTTATTAAACTTAAAATACGTTATACAATAATTTATAATTTGTATTTAAAAAATTATTTTAATTTAATAATGTATCTACAGTATACAAATTCACTAGTAGTAACAGTCAAGTGTATTTGATCATCAAGATTCTCGTTACACAATTAAGGTGAGTAGACCTTAAGATCATTAAAAAAAAATTGATATGCCAACTGTTTAGTATATGAAGATTTTGCTCCTTGATTCTTTTAATTAAAATAAGTATGTGTGTAAAGTATAAATGGTAATGTCTATAAATTCTTAATTTAAATTAAGATATTGTTTAATTAAATAATTTTTTTATTATTAAATGATCTCCTTCGTTTATTCTGTTATTTGATCCTTTCAAATATTTTTTATTTTATTTAATCTCTCATTTTAGGGGATCAAATGAAAAATTAATGATATTAAAAAGTAAATGAAAAATAAAAACCACAAGAAATCCATTTAATTACATATATATATATATATATATATATATAGATATTTAAGTGATCATTCAATATCAATTATTGTCATCGTAATAATTCTTCAACTTCCATTAAATTTATTTGAAAAAATTTGATGATATTAATTATAAATAATCATATAATTTGATTTTTATGCTTATAAAGCACCAATATTATATATGTCAATTGTCAAGTATACTTTTTGTGCATCAAAATTCTCGATTTAAAATTAAGGTGACTAGAACTTAAGACCTATAAAATCATCGATATGTCAACTGCCAAGTACGCTTATTTTTGTTGGCTGTTCTTTGTCCAACTTGGCAATAGTTTCTCATAATCTGCCACATCAAATCTGAAAGTTCAAGTTTCCTGCTACAAGCATCCAACCAAGATAGCTTAGAGCGAGTTAAATAACTCTTTTATCTATTGTAATCATTTAGTTAACTTTAATTAACTTTTTTTAACCACCAAGTACTAGGATTAATAAGAGATTATTTCAGTTTAATACATGATCTTAAATTAGAGTTTAAGTGAATGTGTAATTTAGCTACAGGGGTCTTGACTTAAATAACATTTTAATGAAAAATTTTCTAAAAATATATTTCAAATAAATATTTAATCTATTTATAATAGTTACACTCGACTCAAATAATATTTTACAAAGACATTTCTAAAAATTTGTTTAAGTTCGAGTTCTCCTACAATAATTATCTTAACTGAAACAATGTTCTTATAAAGACTTCTAAAAATTTACTTAAACCTGAATCTACTTTAACTTAAAACTTTATTAAATGTATGTTCATATTCATACACCCAAAACAATTTAAATGACTAAAACGAGGTTCCCTACGTCTTTATGCACTAAAACATCTCTTTAAACAAAATCCCAAACTTCCCTGATTTGACATAATAATGACTCACTTTGTGGAAACCACTGCTCTATTTTAATGTTATGTTAGCCACAAGCCTACTCATTAACGCTACCAGATTGTGACACTCTTGTGGTTTCAACTTTCGAGCCAGTTGTCCATAATTCATCTTATCATAATTGCTTTGCAAATTTTTCAAATTTGCCTTTGATACAAACTTTGCAATTTCTTATATATAAATACTCCACACGTTGTTCTATTCTTTCTATCCTTCTCTAAATTCTCTCTCTCTTTCTCACTGTTAATAAACGAGAGAGAGACCATAGAGAGAGAGAACTTGAAAAGCATTGCAATATACGTTTGCTCCATTTGGTGCCATTGGCTGTGGCTAAATCTGGCACATGGAGTTGAACTAGTTAGTTCAGTGGGAATGCATTGTTAGCACAGTACTATAATAGTATCCACTGACTCTAGCTCTTTCATATTGCCTTGTCGTAACTCCTAAGCAACAATCAGTGAGTGACCAAAAGTGAAAACTAAAAACAATCCGTGTTCTTTTCGCAAAGCCAACAAGCCTCCAAGACCTGCTTCAAAAACCAAGCACAAATAGTGATATCATATCACATTCTTTTTTATATAGTCACTGCTCTATTAGTGCACTTTGTCTCTCCAAAGGAAACTAAGTAAGCCCCCAAATGGATCGGCTTTCATCAGCAACTACGTTTGAAAGCATGCATTATGGCAGTGCAAACCAAATGGGTTTGATTTGGCAGCAAGCCAGGGCACCCTTGATGGTTCCATTGCTGAAATTGTTAGTGGTTTTGTGCCTAGCCATGTCAGTTATGTTATTTGTGGAGAGAGTTTATATGGGTATAGTCTTAGTCATTTTGAAGTTTTTTAGGCGAAAGCCAGAGAAGCAATACAAATGGGAGCCACTCAGGGATGACCTTGAGCTAGGAAACTCTGCATACCCAATGGTCTTGGTGCAAATTCCAATGTACAATGAGAAAGAGGTATTAGTGGAAAGTTATACTATTTAACAAACCTCTTTAAAAAATAAAAAACTTTTATGACATGGATTGTTTCTTTAAAAATATTGTTTTTCTTTTTTCTGATGTTGAGGTTTTTTGTGGGTACTGTTCCATTGCTTGCAGGTGTATCAATTATCAATTGGAGCTGCCTGTGGGCTATCATGGCCATCTGATAGAATTATTATTCAAGTTCTTGATGATTCCACAGACCCAATCATTAAGGTTGAGATCATCCCTAGAAATATGACTTTTTGTTCCTTTATCTTGCAATAATTAAACAATGTTACAAATTCCTATTTCTTTCTCCCTTAGTCAACAGAAACCCACTCTTAGCTCTTTTGTACTCTCTAGGGGCTACATAAAATATAATTTTTCTCATTAGTCATAATCTAGGTCAACTTGCATGGAAAGGTTTCCTTCACAAAATAACATTTAAAAACCACAGCACTTTCTGTCACAATTCATTCAGAACATTAAGATAGTAAAGAAAAATGGTGACTAAAATCCTTGTAAAAAATGACACAATTCATTTAGACAGTTCTTGTTCTCTGATATGAATCTAGTTAATGCTTACGTAACCTTTTATGCTTTGTTTCTTTTTTGACCAAAACACCACAGAATATGGTGGAGGTGGAATGCCAGAGATGGGCCAGCAAAGGCATAAACATAAAGTATGAGATCAGAGAGAACAGAAATGGATACAAAGCTGGGGCTCTCAAAGAAGGCATGAAGCACAGTTATGTCAATCTATGTGACTATGTGGCCATCTTTGATGCTGATTTCCAACCTGAGCCTAACTTCCTTTGGCGCACCATCCCATTCCTGGCTCACAACCCAGAAGTTTCACTTGTCCAAGCTCGATGGAAATTTGGTAATTTTTTGTTCATTAAAGTTAAATATTCATGAAGCTCCTTTGTGCAAGCTTTCTTTAGGTAGGAAATAAAAGCAAAACTGTGTGTTCTTTAATAATGGATCTGGTATCAAAATATATTTTTCAGTTAAAAAAATACGCTTAGTTACAACTGAACATGGAAAGAAAATTCTTTTAGCACCAAAGCTTCATGGTCAAGCCAAACCAATGGACTGAAAATAGAATCAACTTAGAGATCCAAGGACTTGTTATTAAATGACATGATATGGTCATGTCAGAGAAAAAAAGACACAAGAGATAAAAATATAGCTAATAGATCTCTACAACCAACTATGGTACTCCTTCTCTGATGTATTTCTCTCTCTAACATGACCAATCCATATCCTCGAATATCTAAATCGAGGATCCAACGTAGAATATAGATGCCTTTGGAGTGTGACAATTATACTCCTTGTGTATTGCAGTAAATGCTGATGAATGCTTAATGACAAGAATGCAAGAGATGTCATTGGACTATCATTTCCTTGTGGAGCAGGAAGTTGGGTCCTCAACCTATGCTTTCTTTGGTTTCAATGGTAAATCATTTCCCTAACACTGATCACAGTTTCAAAGAAACGTAAACTGCAGAGAAATATTTCTTTGGGTGTCATGTGAATGTAGATGATATGGTGCAGGCACAGCTGGTGTTTGGAGAATTTCAGCATTAAATGAAGCTGGTGGATGGAAGGATCGCACAACAGTTGAAGATATGGATTTGGCTGTCCGAGCTGGTCTCAGAGGCTGGAAATTTGTCTACCTTAGTGACCTCAAGGTATCATTGAATCACACTTCATTTAATTGCATGACTGATAGAATTGTATTAACAAATTATAGTTGGCCAATCTATTACTAACTGGATCTAGGGGTTTAAAACCTTATTATGTCAGCTGATGGTGAATTTAGTTTCCCTTCCCTTATTTGAGATGAATAATAGAACATGAATTTAGAAGCCTTGTTTAAGTGGATTTTAAAAATTTTATGGACTGCAACATATATAATTTCTGCAATGGGTTATTCAGAAAACATTTTACAAACTGTTCTTTCAGTTGTACATCAAGTTTCTGTCGAGTCTTTTCTCCTGTACGGAATTTTTTATTTTGTATAACAATTTATCTAAATAATTTAGGTGAAAAATGAATTGCCAAGTACCTTCAAAGCCTACCGTTATCAGCAGCACCGGTGGTCATGTGGCCCAGCTAATCTTTTCAGGAAAATGGCAATGGAAATCTTAAGAAACAAGGTATCAGTTTCCTTGTAATTATTTTTTAATCTATACTATAGTTTGTTTTAATAATTATGCATCTTCTCTTCTAATTCCTTTTCTACCATATCATACAGAAAGTCTCCATGTGGAAGAAGTTTTATGTGATTTATAGTTTTTTCTTTGTACGAAAGATCGTAGCCCATGTGGTCACATTTGTATTCTACTGTATCGTGATGCCAGCAACTGTTTTAGTTCCAGAAGTAGAAGTTCCCAAGTGGGGTGCTGTCTATATACCTTCTATCATTACCCTCCTTAATGCTGTTGGAACTCCAAGGTAAGCATTTTAAGGTGTCTAAATTACGCAGACAACGTGTTCTTGCGTTCATTTGCAAGTAACTTATCATATACACACCTTTTGCAGGTCAATCCACTTATTGATATTCTGGATACTTTTTGAAAATGTCATGTCAATGCATAGGACCAAGGCAACACTTACAGGTTTGCTTGAGGCAGGAAGAGTCAATGAATGGGTAGTTACTGAGAAATTGGGAGATGCTCTTAAAACAAAATCAGTTGGCAAAGCAGCTAAGAAGCCTCGTATCAGGATTGGTGAAAGGTATACCTATATAAGGAGAATGCTTCAGTTTTATTAGCTTGTTATCATCTGTTGCCCCATAGAATAAACAATATAGACATGAGTTGAGTTGATTCCCTCAAATTCGGAACAGGTGTATGCAGTTGCATGATAGCAATCACTCTGCATGCAAACTTAAATTATGGTTTTTATAACTAGAAATCACTATTTCACCTTCAGTACTTATTTGTTGATGACTATTGATTAACAGGCTTTATTTCCTAGAACTTGGAGTGGGAGCCTACCTCTTTTTCTGTGGATGGTATGATCTTACCCATGGGAGGAACCACTACTTCATATATCTTTTCCTGCAATCTTTTGCCTTCTTTGTGGTTGGGGTTGGCTATATTGGCACCTTTGTTCCTAATTCTTAGAGGAACTCCTCCATCAGAATTATTGAGTATCATTCGGCATCCCATTCACTACAAGAAGGAACAAAACGCAGTTTCTTCTGCCGGTAGCTGCCATTCAATTTGTTTTAGTAGCATACATTATTTTTATAACAAGTATTTGTCATACTTTCAATTGTTTTTAAATGGAAATAGACAAGGAAGACAGATAAATGAAAAAACGGAGATTTGTTTATTACTTGAAATGCCTTGGAAAGGATAATCAATAAATTGGAAATTTGGAATATAGAAGCAAGTTGACACAACTTCTGCTTCCCTCCTCCTTTTCTCTAAACTGAAAATTGGAACTATTAAGTCCAGTTTGCTCCCTGCTGAGCTTATTGTTACAAACATAACTTCGGACTTCCAAGTTCCAAGCCACAATCCAAAGTCTCCTGTCCTTGAAAATTCTTTTTCTAAGGCAAGGTCCCAATAAGCATATCTTCTCTCTCAGGTACGGCTTTATTCATTCAAACGCCACTATTTATTAAAAGATGTGAAAATGGAAAAAATCAAATAGGTCTAGGAGTCTTGATTTGTTAATAAGAAATTAGAATTTGCAATAGTTTATATTATTAAAATAATTACAATAAAATCTGAAGTGTAGAAAAATATGTACATACAGAAATTCCAGCCTCTCCAGCAGCACCTAACTTATCATTTCAAAGGTTGAATTTAAACAACTTTCTAGGACTTCTGATAGAGATTACCATCCTGCTCTAAGCAGCATTCAGTTGATCAAGAGTTCATTCTAAAGAAATAGCCGAAAAATCTTATAAGCAAATGCCAATTGACATCATTCTCACTTCCTAAATAATTTGTCTACAATTTAGGTCACAAATCAAGAGCAATCTACATCATGATCAGTAGAATTCCATATACAAATATCGATATTGAGCTTCCCTGAAGAAGCAAGAAAATGGAAAGGAATTAAAAGAAAATCTACTGGGGGAAAATCCTCCATTCGAGCAGGAAAACTCTCAGCTACAGACTTTAATCTAAGAGAACTTCTTCCCCTACATGAAACAATCTCATAAGTAAACCTCTCTTTTAATGAGCTTGGACCAATACAGGTTATCATCACTATATTCCCATTAATCTCTGTGCCCTTGTTGAGGAGAAAGAGAACCCCATCTTCTTCTGCCTGGAGAACAAGGAATTGTTCGTTCATTTGTAAATAGATAGATAATGGATAATTATATTTGAATCGTCTCCCAGAATCCCAGTGTTTACTGCTGAAATGCAATGCCAACTGTTCAAACGACCCAACATAGTTGCAGCCTTGAAGTGGGCAAGTACATGGAGAATAGATGCATGTCACTTCATGGTCATTACTGGTCATGTAATCCAGAGTTTCATTGCAGCCATATTCTCTGTTTTGGCAAGGTGATTTGATTGATTCAACTACTAAATCCGCATCTCCACTCAATACAGTTCTGGTCCTGGGAAGACCAAGGATGCCTTCCTGTAGAAACAATTTAGTTTTTGAGAGGGTAAACATTCTCAAGCTGCATATGTCATAATAAAAAAAATCCATGTGCACTCGTTTAAATGCATCCATGCCAGGATGCCTGCACACCTGAATGCGCATGCACAAAACAACACAAATACAGGTCTTGGAGAAGAGTGTAGAAATAGAACTTCCACTAATAGTTCCTTGTGAACCCCACCATACATTTAGAAAGAAATTTGACCAGCTATGACAGTTAGGAAAAGATAATGTTTAGAAAAAGCTATAAAATTCAAGCCACTCAATACTTTCTCACTGATTACTTTTCTCTGCACTCAGATTATTAACAAGTGCTGCTTTAGGATTTTCATAATGAATATCAAATGTGTTTAACAAAAATATACATCAACAATCTACTAAAAGAAATAAAATTCCTAATGTGTTAATATAAGGAGAAGCTCAACCAAAAATCAACAAAGAAAAATGGAGAACAAAATGAATATCTCAAGCCTAATAATTAATGCAATGAGAAAACCATTTTTTATAAGTCTCATCGTGATCTATCACTCTTATGAATTCGTTTAAACACAGTACAAGGCAATAAGCATGCTGTTATCCTGACTTTAAAAAAACAGTGCCCATAAGGAACCCCCAGAAGGGTACAGTAAGAGAAAAGTGAATATAATAAACAGCTTTCAATGCAACGGTTATAATTTGTGAATCAATTGTTACACTTCTTCCTTGGTTCCAGGTATCTTTTTTCTAAATATTTTAAAATCTTTATGAAATAAAGCATATTGAATGTGTAGACCACAACGGGTAAATTGGTTGCATCAGCTAAAATGCCAATGGACAGCCTTAAAACAATCCATTCATCAACTGGCTAGCAACATGTGGTCTTATGGCACAACACAATATCACTAGTTCAAAACCCAACATTGCCAAACAAAGAGACTAGACCAGTTGCTTGATAATGTGTAAGAGCAAGGGTCACGTTAATAAGTTCTTTCATATTATCCACCAAAATGTTTAAGAGAAAAACAGTTCCACCAAAATCTATAGTCATTCCAAATTAAAGAAAACACATCATGGTTCCTCAGATTTTTATTTCAATCAAACTCAAACTTTTAAAACTGACTTACTCCACTTGCAACTATTGCAAAGTTGGAAAGAAAATTATTCATTGGTCTTCTTCCTTCATAAAAGAAAGTAAAAATTTTGGGTTCATAATTATAAAAATAAGAGGGTATAAAACAGGGCCTTTTGACATGCACTTGTGGACATAAAAAGAGGATAATAATAAAGAATGACAATGGCATTATCACCTCATTTGATTCTGGTTCAAGAAGGGAACCATGCCCAATCCTAGTGCTTTCTGTGCTAACTGATGGGCCAGCTGGATGATTTCTATAATCTGGGAAATTCATACTATGGCATTTCTTCTTGCTTGATGGCTGCAAAGTAAAAACATACCTTAATATCTGCACAAACTTAGGATCCACTAGTTTAACAAAAAAAACATCTAAATAGTATGGTTCTGAAGTTAAGTCATTAAACAAATGGTTTTAGTTTGACAATTAAAACATCTCATTAAACAAATGGTCAGTAGATGCCTTAAGGTAAGTCATTTTCATCTCCTTGAAGGGTTTTCTAATTTCTACCATTAAAACATATATTCTGTTGACCTAAAAATAGGAAAATAACATAGTGTTGTAATAAAATAAATTGTACATCATTATCTACCTCGCCAAAACCATAACCGCCAAGTTCCTTTTCTCGTTTTTCTCTCTCAGCAATCTCCTCCTCCCCCCAAGAAAACAGATATGGAACACTATATGGAACTAGAGCAGAAGCCCCTTCAAGAGATATGCTCTCATAGTAGAAAAGCTGAAAAAGAAATAGGAGTCAGGTAAAAAAACATTAATAAGCTAAATGGAAGTTGCAGGGAAAACAATGTTACCTGCAGAAATAAGAGACAACCACCAACAGCTCTTTGCTTCCCTTGATGGAAGCGTGATATCTCTCGAACCAGCCTATCAAGCAAGAATTTACCCCAGTTATACTGATGGACAAGATCCATATTTGTCAAAAAGTGGAGGAATGATGGGCTAACATCCAGCCTAGCTGTTGGGGACAGAAGCGTTCCCAGCACATAAAGAATAAATGACCTCTTAAAATCATCTCCAGCCTCAGCAGTTGCCAACCGCTCCTCTAAAAGTCGCACTGAAATTCCATGATTTGTTGCATTATAACTGTTACGTAAATCTAAAATCAAGTCTTCTGGACCAGAGTTCACCACTTCTTTCCCATTGGCAGATAATCCCATCACTATCTCTACATCTTTCGGAGTTAACATCATGTGCTCATTACAGATCTCCAAGCTGCAATTAGTAGTGTCAAACCTCTCCAATAACCAAAGACACAAACTGCGCCGAAGCGTTTGGCATCTAAGGCCGAGGAGGCTGCCAAAGCCCATACACTTAACTGCCTCCTTCTGTTCAGGTGTGAGGCACTGTAACACATTGAATAAGCGACCGGGAGAGCATCTTGTTACTAGTTTAGTCTGCATTATTTTATCTTCAACTTCAAGATTCATTTAACTATTAAAATGAATAAACAAATCAACCATCACTCAAGTGCTTGGAATTACCTGTTTCTTTGGTTTGGGGACAGGGGCAGCACCTGAACTCAAGTAGCCATCCCACGCTTCACGTGCATGCTTAGAATACTTTTCCTTCTCTTCAAGACTCATCGACTTCCACACATCTGAGGCAGCCTTTGTTGCCTGCAGCGAGAATAATTGCTACTTCAATTATTGTCATAAATAGTTTTTCACCTACAAATGTACTACAAACCTAGCAGTTTCAAAAGTCAATAAAGATGCTCACAGCTTTAAGACCCGATGACTCAGGATGGGAAGCAATATACTCTTTGATAAACTCCTTACTGCAAAAATTGATTTAAGACTTAGTAAGTAGTTCACAAAATCAGAACAGAAAACAAACACACACAAAACAAATGAAATTTCACTGTTAAGAAATCAAAACAAATCACCTAAAATACACCCATGAGCATGCAGGACGAGGAATCAAACCTTCCTTCTTCCTCTTCTTTTTCCTTTGCCCTTCCGTAATATGTTGTTCAACCCTTTGGTTTACCATCGTTGTGAACTTCACATTCTATCCATAAATATCAAATTTAAAATTTAAAATTTAGATAGTTCAGACACCTATATGTCATTTTCAACCCATACCCCATAACAAACTAATAATCCTTGCAATGTAATACCGAAGACAAAGAAAGCAAAGGCAACTCAAATTTTTACAATAAGTAACACGTGTTCCATATCGTTTGTGCTTTTGGCTCATTAAACACGATCCCATTTCCTAAAAATCCAAAACAAAACTTACACCTTGCCAGTCAGCAAGACATGACTATGAATAATTTAAAGTAACCAGAAAATACATAGAATTTTGTTTTTGTGTGTGTGTGTGTAGATAGATAGATAGATAAAGGTATAAGCACGATACATATTGACATGATGAAAATGCAAAATACTGAAGAAACGGTGAGATAACTTTATGGATAAAATGCAGAAGAAATTTATCGGAAGCTTATACGTATACTCACTGATAAGTATAATTATTGGTAGAAAGAAGGGGTTGGACGACGGTGTCGCAGTGGTGGGGTCGTCTCCGGCGACTCTTGTGCTCTCCTCGGAGAAGGGAAGGCTAGATTAGCCAGTTCAGGCAAGAGTGACACCACTGGCACGAAACTCCCCGTTTCAAATGGGCCTTTACTTCGCGGAATTTAAGTGGGCCCAAGTCCAACCCCCAATGGATCACGGAATTTAACTCCTCTTCTTTACCAAAAAATAAACCATTTTGTTTGTTATTTATACAATTTTTTTATTATTTATAAAATTTTATTTTTAAAAGTGTGTTTAATATATTTTAATAATTTAATTTATTTTTTTAGTTTTTAAATAACAATCTAGGAAGCTAGAAGTCCAAAAGTAAAATATAAAAGAGATTTACATAGTTTTTTTTTTTTACTCCTATTGTTATCCATTTATGTAGCTACAAATTCAATATTTTTATTATTTTCAAAAGATACAAGTGAGATTCACTTGTTAATTAGTTTTAGATAAAATATTATGAATTTCCCTTATGATATAAATTACATGATGAATATGATTAACTCTTTTATTAATTATGAAAGTGTTGATTTTAAAATTCATTTCTTTTGCATGTTCACAATTTATCATCTCATGAAGCCTTAAAAAAAAAACTCTCATAAGTCATTATTTTCTATTGTGAGAGCAAACTAAGTCATGACAATGTCAACAGAAAGATGAGAATAGAAAATCAAAATTTTTATTTTATTATCAAATAATGCCTTGAAAGATAAAAGCATATTTATTTTGCAAAATAAGTCAAAGGATAAATGGTCTTTTAAAGAAATTGTGTTCATCCTAATTTTTATCAAATGTTGATAAAAAATAAATATTTTTATATAATAAAATCACACCTAGTAAAGCATGATAAATAATTCTTTTATAAAAGTGGTCCAAAGTTTTTGATGAGATTTATCCTAAGCTTTTTGAATTTTGGACCTAACTAGAACTGTGACGTAACTTAAGTTACAAATTTTATAATTGAGTGTTTTAAAAATGACATGAAAGTTCACGTTTTGAACTAAAATTTTAACTCAAAAATTACTTATTTTGGAATTGTAAATCATGAGATATGAATAAAAGTTATTCTGGGTGCAGATTAGGATTTGTTTGGAAAAAAATGCTATGAACCCTAAAATTTAGAATTGGAGAAAACCGAAATTCATATATTGTAAAAAAAATAAAAGAAAAAAATATGATACAGATGACACCACAAATAAAGATGTTTGATAAAGCCAACAAGATCGCTACAAAAATTGATGAATTCTTATTAAGATCATAGATTATAAGGAAAAACTCTAGCAGAACATAATATTTACTATAATATGATTTCAATCAAGTATTTGTTATTTCTCCAAATAATTTCCAAAAGTTTTAATACAATTCAGTTTAAGAGTTTGTTCACATAAACTTGACATATTAAAAATAAAAACTCCCTTACTACAAACATGATGTATATGTCTCAGTGGTTAAGTGGACATATCTTAACGTCAAGTGCATGATTCAAGTCTTGATGTAAACAATAATGTATAATTACATATTTTTTACACAAAGTTCCAAAACAAATAAAAAGTCTTTCAATCTCTACTTAAAGCTTTGAACTCTTCTTTCATTATAAGTTGGCTATGCATGTGTACATTTTAGAATAAGTGTTAGCCTTATATTGGGGTTGAGCTTTTAGCATGGTGATGAGCATGTGTTGTAGAGTTTTTGGAGCCTTCCTTGATCTAGCTCTTATCATGAGTCTTCTTAAGCCTTGTAATAGATCTTGAATTCCATGTGATAGTTGAGCTTGAACTTAAGTGGTGATGTCCACATTAGTTTTATAATAAATGTATATATTAAACTATATACTACGAGAATGTGTTAACTAGAAAAAAAAAAATTATGTATTACAAAAATATAATACATAATATAATATGAGTAACTATGGTTATATAGTTTTAAAGATTTTTATAAAAATAAATTTTACCAAATACGTATTTAAATATTTACTTGATTTATCTTTTGTTAATTATTTCAATTTTTTTTAAAACACATTATTTAACTTATTTTAACATCAACAATAAAATAAATTTATGATCCATAATCAATCTAATTATTTCATCATGTATTAAAATTTATTGAATTTTAATATTTAAAAATAACGATTTTATTTTGAAATATATATTTTTAAGTAAAACATTATCATTTTTAGTTGTTTAAAATTAATTAACTGAAATTAACATCTTAAAAAAAATAATTTATCTTTTCCCGAGGAATACGACGCCGTTTACATCATCGTCAGACAAAATTATCCTTTACGAAACTTGCCTCGATCCTCTCCATTTTCTTTCCAAGTGACCCTTCTCTTATTTTCCACTCTCCTTCTTCCTCGACCCTCGTCCGCCACAATCGTCGCCGGAAAACATCAATGCCAAACCACTAAACCCCAAAACCCCACTGCCACAACCATGAGGGTGTCCTCCCCCGCGGCGGCGGCGTCTCACGCTGACGACCACCGCATCTCCACCCTTGGCCATCGCGACGCCGAGTCCCTCTTCCGCTCCAAGCCCATCGCAGAGATCCGAAAAACCGAGGCCGCCATGCGGAAGCAGATCGAGGACAAGAAGGAGGAGCTCCGGCAGCTGGTCGGCAACCGCTACCGCGACCTGATCGACTCGGCCGACTCCATCGTCCACATGAAGGCCTCCTGCACCGCCATATCTGCCAACATTTCTGCCGTGAACGGCCGCATCCGCTCCCTCTCCCTCTCTCAATCCCATTCCCAAACCAAGCTCCATTCCCAGTCCCGAGCCTGGACCTACGGCGTTGCGTGCCGCGTCAAGTACCTCGTCGACACGCCCGAAAACATTTGGGGCTGCCTCGACGAAGGCATGTTCCTTGAGGCAGCGTCGCGCTACGTGCGTGCCAAGCACGTGCACCACCGCTTGTTCCTCGATTCCGATGACCAGAAGAACAAGATCTTGGCCAATTTTCCGCTTCTTCAGCACCAGTGGCAGATCGTTGAGAGCTTCAGGGCGCAGATCTCCCAGCGCAGCCGTGATCGCATGCTCGATCGCGGCCTTGCCATTGCTGCTTATGCCGATGCGTTGGCTGCCGTCGCTGTAATTGACGAGCTCCAGCCCAAGCAGGTATTTTGTTTTTTTCGGTCGGAATTTTGGGTTATTGACTGTTGTGATTGTTTTCAGTTTGTGGATTTGTGTGATTTGAGATGTGTTTAGGTGCCTGGTTCTTAGATTGATTGGTGTGGAGTATTTGGTGAGTGTGGATTGAGAATTGGGTTGGAAATGGGGTGTAAGAGGGTGTGTCATTGCTTGCGGTTAGCAGATTTGAGTGATTTGAGATGTGGGCAGTTGCTTAATTCGTCATTTGATGGGTATAAACTGATTTGTTGATGAAAAACAGGTGTTGAGCTTGTTTCTGGAATCGAGGAAATCGTGGATATCGCACATGTTGGGTAATGCTGGTGCTGGAGATGCTTCCTCCTTGGTGGTTTCGGTATTGTGTGATGTGTTGGGTATAATTCAGGTCAGTGTGGGTCAGGTGGGTGAGTTGTTTTTGCAAGTGTTGAATGATATGCCCCTTTTTTACAAAGTCATTCTGGGATCTCCTCCTGCATCGCAATTATTTGGTGGGATTCCCAATCCTGACGAGGAAGTTAGGCTTTGGAAGTCATTCAGAGATAAACTGGAATCGATCATGGTAATGCTTGATAAGCGTTACATTGCGGATACTTGTTTTACTTGGCTGAGGGAATGTGTAAACAAGATAAGTGGAAGAAATTTGATTGATGCCATTGGTAGTGGCCAGGATCTTGCTTCTGCTGAGAAATCAATAAGGGAGACAATGGAAAGCAAACAAGTTCTACAGGGGAGTCTAGAATGGCTCAAGAGTGTTTTTGGGTCTGAGATTGAGTTACCTTGGAGTAGGATTCGGGAACTCGTTTTGGAAGACGATTCAGATCTTTGGGACGAGATATTTGAGGATGCTTTTCTTGGCAGGATGAAAGAAATTATTGACTTGAGATTTAGGGAGCTAACTGGCTCTGTTAATGTGATGAGCTCAATTTCTGCTGTAGTTGACTCATTTACCAAGGACAATGATGTTCAGGGGTACTTGAACAGACCTTCTACAGCTGGTGGTGTTTGGTTTCTAGACTCCAATGCCAAAAAAACTGGAGTTGTTTCTGGGTTTAAAGCCCAGCCTGAGGAGAGTGAATTTCAGTCTTGTCTTAATGCCTATTTTGGTCCTGAAGTAAGCCAAATCAGGGATGCAGTTGATGTTTCTTGTCAGAGCATCCTCGAGGATCTTTTAAGTTTCTTAGAATCTCCAAAGGCTTCTAGAAGATTGAAGGATCTGGCACCATATTTGCAAAGTAAATGTTATGAAAGTGTGTCTTCTATATTGATGACACTGAAAAAAGAGCTTGATAGTTTAAATGCCTCCATGGAAAATGGCGACAAGGCAGTGCCAACAACTGTTACAGTTGAAAAATCTCTTTTCATTGGACGATTATTGTTTGCATTCCAAAACCATTCTAAACATATACCTTTGATACTTGGTTCTCCCAGATTTTGGGCCAATGGGAATGCATCTGCAGTAGGGAAATTACCAACTATGGTGAAACAATCTCGATTTGGAACTGATTCTGCTGTCTGTGATAGTCCAGGAAGACAAACAAGCCTTGCCTCTAAAAGACAAAATTCATCTGCTATTGCTGCTTTGCTTGGAGCAAGAGAAGGTGCAAGTCATGAATTGGAAGAACTGAATAAGACTATAGGGGATCTTTGCATTAGAGCTTACAACTTGTGGATATTATGGCTGTCCGATGAACTTTCTGCCATTGTCTCTTGGGATCTTAAACAAGATGATGCTTTATCTTTGAGCACACCCTGGAGGGTAAGTGTTATTTACCTCCTTGCCCCCTCTGGTTTGTTCTCTTTGCTTTACCATGACATGAGATAGCTTAAACTCATTCGTCATAATTTGTTAATCTTCCACTTGCGAGCCTTTAATTTTTGGAGAACCTTTATATGTCTTACAAGAGTACTTGTAGTTTGTTCCTTTTGAAGATCTCTATTAATAAAAGTTTGTTAGATGATAAGAAATAAAGAAGGAAAGCATGAGAAGGAGGATAAGAAATTCCTTATGAATAAAGAGTAAATGAAAACCAAAAATACTGGAAATCAATAAATTTAAGCTCTTCAGCCTATTTTAATATCAGCAGAATGGAAAACCACTTAACCAACATTGGGTTTGGGTCAAAACTTGTCCCTGATTCCTGCTTGAACATTTATAGCACTGCATATCATGTGATTGTAGTCTGAACTCTATGAAACGGAATTGTGATTATACTATGGATCTTGTGAAAATTTGGAAACTTTTAAGGATCCAAAATTTTAATGACATATCAAGAAACACAACCCAAACAACTTGTAGCAATCTTTATTGAATGATTGGAGTTTACATCCTGGAGGAAACACTATACCATAATCCATGAATTTGCTATCTTGTTAAGCAAATCATGCAAAAGTCTTGCCAGAAAAGCTATATGTTAGAACATTGCCCTATTTTAATATTTCTTTATTGAGATTCCTCACCAGAACTAAGCAAGCCTAAACCCTATTTGTTATTATCATCTTTGAGGATGATAACAAGGAATTGAAAGAGCCTAAAGTCCAAATAGTTCAGGCCACTGTTGTCAATTTTGTTTGAAATTAGTTGTGAATTATTGCCTGATTTATATGATGATGTCTTCAATTAGTTTACTTCAAGATCTGTATTCTTGATAATTAGTTGTTTCTTATGTTTTCCACGATCACTAACTTAATCCTCCCAGAAATGGGTTGACAAATCTATAATGGTGAGATTTTTTCACCTTATTTTGAATGAATTGGAAGCATTTAGTTTGACAAATTCTCCTTCCTTCCAAACTTTCATTCCTTTAGTGGTGTTACTTAATGGAAGGAATCACTGATGCAATGCATAGAATGCAGTGATATATATCTTCTTAGATTTATTTTATTTGAGTATTTAGTTAGCAATTTACTGAAGTTTGTCTATTTGAGACTGAGAGGATTGAAATGAATTGAAAATGTGTTAAAGAAGTACTTGTTTACTATGATATTTTGCTTTGCAACCAACTAATGATGATATGTCAAATGAAAACTTGTGGCCTTTCAATATAGAACCAGCTTAACTTTTGTTTGCTTTTTTGAAAGGATAGTAAAGTATCATCAATTTCAAGTGTTGTCATTGGGTAATGTTGTCATTTTTTTTGGTGGGACCTTGTATTGTGATATGCCGACCAAGTTATCGTTTTAATCTTGAAGGTTGCTCATTATTTGGTTTCCTAAACAGGGCTGGGAGGATATTGTAGTCAAGCAAGATCAATCGAATGAGAACCAATCGGAAATGAAAATATCTCTTCCATCTATGCCTTCTCTGTATATCATCTCGTTTCTATTTAGAGCTTGTGAAGAAGTTCATAGAGTTGGAGGTCACGTACTTGACAAGAAGATTTTGCATAAACTTGCATCAAGATTATTGGAAAAGGTAGATATTTCTGTGTGTTAATCTATTTGAAGTTCATGTCCACCAAAGTGATTCTGCCTCTCTAAATTTATTTCCTCTCTTTCCTTTTGTTTATTTATAGAAAATGAGATTTCATTGAAAATAAGAAGAGAAAATGACAGTGAGGATAATATATCCTAAAAATCATATAAAACATAAGACAGAAAACAATGAGAAGTGAACTAAGAATTCAGCAAGGTTGTCTAATCCCTCTGCAAGCTTTCCTTGTGCTGCATAATGTCTTTTTGCCTTTGGTGGTTTTGAGGTATTGTGACAATAAATCAATATCTTATCTGGGTGTCTTTTTTATATTGGATTCAAAGTTAAGAATAACCAAAAGTTATTGTCCTTATTAAATGGTTATAATTAAGTCCTGAATGATTATTGGTGAGTAGCCAAAAGAGAATTGAAAAATAAAAAGATTCACTTTCAATGAGGCTGTTTGAGCACCATTTGATATGCTAAATCCTTTTGATTTACTGGTGCATTTTGACGCTCAGATGGGATATGGAAGTTCCTGAAATCTACAACCCTCTAAATTTCTTTGTATGTTTTGAATTAAAATGAGAGTGAATAGAACCATGGGCATGCAAAAGCCTAACCTTTTTTTCGTATTAGCATAATGTTGACGGCTAGCATTATATTCTTTTACAATGTTGCTAGTGCTACAGATGACTAAACAATAGTGTGGCCTTTGCAATGCATGGTTTCTTATATTTGTTGTAAATCAAATGTTCCCAAAACCTGATCTTGAAGAAAAACATGGAAAAGTATAAAATTATCATTAAACTAGTAATTTCTTCTGAAGCATCTGGTCAAAACTAAATTTTGCTTATAGATATATCATCAAATTACTAATTTCTATCTCTTTATTATTCATTAACATTTCCTTTTGTTTTTATGGAATTTATTACAATTAAATGAAAGGTCTCTACTTTTAAAATCAAAAGTACAAAATAAATACATGCATATCTCTGAGACAAACATGAGTAAATAATAATAAAGGCTGGTTAATAATAGCTTTCCACCCCTTTCCATTTTTATTGAAGAAAACAGTTTGAGAAAGGTGTTGAAACTGGAGCTAAGGCCGCAGCTTATCCCATTAAATTTGTTAGGTTGAAATCCCTGGGCAAATAGAACACACTTACACTAGCACTGGCTTGCAGTTTTTATTTCACCATAAACGTAAGTACCAGGAAAATATTGCTCAAATCTAGGTGTTACTGCTCACTGTGAAGACATGTTAATCAATGGTCAATGAAGTGTCATTTAACCATGTTGCCATTCCATCCTGAATTGTTCAATGTTTTGGAACAATTTTCTAGGTGGTGGCTTGTCAAGTTATTATGTATTTTTGTTTCAATGACTCTTGCTATGTTGTTCACTGCTTACATCTACAGGTAATTGGAATCTTTGAGGACTTCCTTTCCACTGAAGAGGGTGGTTCCCGACAAGTGTCAGAAAAAGGTGTCTTGCAAGTTTTGTTAGATGTCAAATTTGCTACTGATGTTCTTTCTGGTGGTGATTCAAATGTGGTTGGGGAATCATCTAATAACCCGAAACCAAAGCTACCCATCAGAAGGAAGCAGGACCCAAGTTTGACGACATCAGCCATTAGAGAACGTTCAAATCAATTGCTAAATCGACTTTCTCAGAAACTAGATCCCATAGACTGGCTTACGTAAGTTTCTCATTCTTCTGTTCAAGTTCTTTCTTTTTGATTTAGACCTAATACCATGTTAGAAGGAACATAAGATGTGCAATACATGAACATTTGGGTTATACAATGATTACACATGCAAGGAAATAGCTAAAATAAATCTAGAAAATAATAGAAGTAGAAAAAATAGAAAACTGCCCTCTGAAATGCAAAAATTTTCGAAGAGTATCAGTGAAATGGATTACTCAAAGAATTGATGGCTCAAGGGCCAAGACTTGATCATGATTCATGAATTTTAAATATACTGTAACTCAAAGAAATCCATGCTCATGCAGGAGCAAATCCAGATGACATAGTTAGGCCCCATAATTTTGCAATCTGGGAGGTTGAAACATTGTAATATATTTTTTTGTGAAAATCATGGTTAGAGAGAATTTGTAGTGTGCATTTATTGTGCGGGGTTGAATTGGCTGTAGGTATTAATTTGCTTTTCTAGTAATTCAGAGTCATCTCAAGTTTTCCTTCTTTCCCTTGATCTGGTAATGATTTCTTATCTTACTTAATTTGTTAAAGGTACGAACCATATCTCTGGGAGAATGAGAGACAGACGTACCTACGCCATGCAGTCCTCTTTGGTTTCTTTGTGCAACTTAACCGTATATACACCGATACTGTTCAGAAACTGCCTACTAATTCAGAATCTAATATTCTGAGGTGTTCTACAGTTCCCCGGTTTAAATACCTCCCCATCAGGTTAGTCTGATCTTGTGTTTTATTTATATTGTGTCATTTTATAATGCATAGTTCTTTGCTTGTCTGTTTTACCGTCTTACTATTTATTTAATATAAATTAGTTTAAATCTGATAGTTCATCCAATGACTAATTTTTATGGTAGTTTTGCTAAGAAACCTATTAATTAAGCTATTGAATAATATTCTAAAATGTCATTTCATATTCACAAACTAATGTCTTGGTAAATCCAGTGCTCCAGCATTGTCCTCTAGAGGGACAAAGAAGGCATTTACCCCATCAACAAATGAAATTTCTTCAAGAAGTTCATGGAATTCTCTTACAAATGGAGAGCTTTCTCAGAAGATAAATTTGGATGATAGTTCAAGTCTTGGGGTGGCAGCACCATTACTGAAGTCTTTTATGCAAGTAAGCTTTTGGTTCTATCTATTGCTGTATTGCAGTTTAATTCATCATATTTTTTTATCAAGAAATTATGTGATGTTGAACTCCACGTCTCACATTTGCGTGTCATACACATTCATGGCTGCAGGGAACTCTTATTTATGCAGCCATACAAATGTATTTTTCCTTTCTATAGACAAGTTGTCTTTCTTTATACACTGTGGACAGTTGAGCAACTATTTAATGCAATTCCAATCCATATGCCAAGTGATTATTAGGAGTACAGAGTACTGTATCATTCAAAATCTAAAGAATTCCTTAGTAATTTTATTTGGATTATTCTACTGTAGTATTTGACTGAAGTAATTCTGAATCATTTCAATTTCTTAAACCGCATAGAACTTCATCTCCTACACCTAGTACTTGTATCATGTGTTGCTCTAGCCTGGAAAAGGTTATCCATTGAATTATAATTGGTTCCCTGATTAATTGAGAAAATTCTTTATAATTGTTGCCGAATTTGGTTAATGAGTTATCGTCATGCTCTGTGGTTGAGCATATAATACCATATTGCTTGGCCAGTAGATTTCAGTATACGCCGTTTACAACATTAGCCGCCTATACGCAAAATTTGGGAGTAAAGTCACCTTTGATATGATTGACCGATCTATATGAAGTCTTAATTGCATTTGTATACTGTTACTTCTCTATTCTTATATATCTAAAATCTGATTTAGAATATATTGTTTGATCGCATAGATTTGTAGGTATTGATACTATTTCTTATATTTCTTCAAGGTTGGAAGCAGGTTTGGGGAGAGTACTTTTAAACTTGGATCCATATTATCTGACGGGCAAGTTGGCATTTTTAAGGATAGATCTGCAGCTGCTATGTCCTCGTTTGGAGATATTTTACCTGCTCATGCAGCTGGTCTTCTTTCATCTTTTACAGCTCCAAGATCAGATTCATGATGGCTCAATGATTCAAAGAGATCCCAGTTGCTCTTGAAAAGTCTCGTTACCATAAAGTGTGATATCTCATGAAACCTTCCCAACCCTCCACCTTTCATACATGAAACCACTCTAGATAGAGCAACATTACAATCAGCTCCGAGTATTCTAAACATCTGGAGCAAATGGGTCAAAGAAATATAGGGATGAGGATTCTTAAAGTTGACTGGCGTGGTTAACTATCATTTTATCATTTGGCTTGGAAACGGTTTTGAATGTAAATGCCCAACTTTTAAGCATGAGGGAACTTGACAACAGATTGACGAGCGAGTAGTGTTGATGGTAGATTTAAGATCGCGTGTCATTTGGGTCAAGGAAGCTGAAATGGGATCTTGCTAATGTCAGAGTTGAGAGCTGCTATAATTTGTGGCTACTGTATTGCGTGGTTCTAATTTTTGGTCAATGTCTATAGTGGTTGCATAAATTCAATCAAATTATCTTTTGTTAGATATTTTTTAAGGTTCTCATTACAATGTAACTCTGTATTTCAAATACTCATTCAATGAACTGAATTCATATATCTGTAGTTTGTCATTATATTCCTGTTCTATTCATTTTGGTAAATGTACCTAACGCCAAATACAGTTTGGCATCAATTCAATATATGGGTTAAGTTTTTTTCTTTCTTTCGCCATGTAAATCACTAACATATGGTGATATAGAAATTTCTTTACAAAAAGAAGTCTTACGTATCTGTAAGTATACAATTTGGTCTATTAAATTAATGTTGATTATCTTTGGTTTTGAAAGTATTGTCGAAATATTTTATCATTTTAAAATGTTAACTTATTTATAATTTTGTTCTTTTGTTCATGGTTGTTAATAGGGTGATGTATTTACTGATATGGTATAAGAATCATATACATATAGTGTCATGTAACTAGATAATTTGGTCCTTAAAAGTTATTTTTTAACATTTATTTCCTGTAGACAAGGTTTATTCGTGTCATGTGTTAAAAAAAATAGTTTAGTTTTTCACTAAGTTCAATGACGTGTGATTTATATAACCTGAAATAAGACTTGTTATTGTATATTTATGCGTAAGAATGAGCAGATTGTTTTACTTCGATTCTTAAAAGTATTTATCTGAATAAATTAACTTTAAAATGTGTCAATTTTTTTATAATTTTATTCTTTCAAATATAACTGCTAAATGTGTAATAAAATCATACAATGATAATTTCTAGGCTATTATGATGTACTTTTTGATAATAATGTTATTAATCTTCTTTCTATTTGAAATAAATCATAGGAAGAGCATTTTTCCTTTTGCAAATAAGAAGGGTTGAAATGTTAAACTAGACTAAAATATTATGACAAATGATAAACTGAATGAATTTTAAACGAGTAAAATAAATTATTTTGCATTAAAAAAATTACACTTTCTCTAGCTTCGGCCTTAAACATAATTTGTGTATGATTTTGTTTTGCAAATTTCAATGTGTAAAACTCAATACACACTAATAACTTACATTTAGTTCACATCATTGCATCTATTGGAAACTACTAGCATGTTATGGATTATGAGTGACTTCAATTTAGTTTTGTCTCACGACAAAGAAATGCACCATGTCTCACAATTTTGCTCATGACTTACGAGAAGAAAATTTCTCTCATAATTTTGATATAGGTTTGTATAATACACTTACATGTGAGTAGTGATAGTTTTCTCATTTTAGTTTTCTTATTTTATTTTTCGTTTTCCACGAGCCCGGCGAGAATCAGGATGAATAGATTCAATTTGAGGAAGAAATCATGGACTTGTCCGTGGAAAAGGGTGATTTCCTTCGTTCTATTTCTCAAAATATTCGCCTAACGCAAAACGTATAAGCGTTTATGTCACTATGAATCCATTAATTAAATGACAAATACTATTAACCATTTCTTTAAGTTACTGATTACATTTGGCAAATGTTAATCGCTTCTCTTAAAGACACTGGTTAAGGAAGGATAAAATTCAGGTGCAACATTTTAAGTTACTGTTAGTTTTTTTTTTAATTAGAGTTAGAGTTTAACTTAGTACTTAAGACCAATGTTAATTATTCTTAGGCACTAATTAAAGAATAAAAAATTTATTAAATTGAGGGTTTTCTAAATGAGCGTGCCATTTTGTTACATTTGGTGATGACATGTTCTTGTCCCTCTAGGGCACGAGGTGGCTGGTGCTAGAGTCGTGCAAGCAACACTGTAACGTGGCTACACTTTTCAATGCTATATTACTCATATATAAAAACAAAAAGGACCAAATAATTCCAAACAAACAACATCGATTCAAAACAAATTCTAAGAAAATAGTTAATAAAAACTACACTTCAGTTTCCTCATCATGCTTGTCCTTATTCCAATTAAATTCATGAAAAACATATACGCATAATTTATTGAAGACCTTTTGTTTTAGACTTTTTGTCTTATATCATTTTTTTAATACCCTTTCCTATGATTAGCAGCACGTTATTATGATAAATATTAATATGCTTTTCTCTCTTAGCTGAATATTGACAATAAAAAGAAATAGATTGTTAAAGCAAAAAAGGACAGCAATGTTTTATTGCTATGCTTCACTTCATTCTTCATCAATGACTTGTACGTATATCTTTGTTCCACCAAACAACCACGTGGAATGTTTTGAACAACTCTTTTTTTTAGCTTTTTGAAAGGAAAATAGCATAAAACTAAAATGGGACCATCAAATTTCAGACCATTTGTGGACTCTAGTCATTATGCCTTTACAATTGAAGTAATTAGTGAAGGTATTTTATATTCTCATTCAATCATTAATTATTATGCAACTGATTCTTTTATTTTTAATTATTTAGCAGTATAAAAAATTTATATTTATATTGATTGAACATTCAAATTAAAGTTTTGAATTGAAATTTCTCGTTTTAGGCCTTATGACATGATCACATTTTAATGATTTTGATACTATACACTTAGTTACCATTTACCAAATTTATATGATTTCATCTCTTTCAATTAATCACCTCTTTATGCGTCTTTAATTTTCGTAAATAAGATAAATGTTGTATATCATACTTTCTATTTGACCACTTTTTGTATGATTTTAGGAAAATAATAACTTACACTTAAGCGTAAGTATAGATTATAAATCATTGCGTTGTTTAGCTTATATCATTTTATATATACATACACATAATTAAAATGTTGGATACTTAATATTTAATTGAGAACATTTAATGGTTTTTTTATTTGAAAATTATGATATTTAATTAATAGACTTAGATGTAATTTTTATCCCAGACGATATGACGTATTTATTTTAATTCTTAAAAATTTTTATTAATTTTTAATGCATAAAAAATATTTTAAAAATGTGCTTTTAGTCTTTGACAAAAGCACTAAAACTACTTAATTTTATTAAATATATAGAGTAAAAATAAAATAAAAAAACACGACCACATGGTATAAAATGTTTTAACTGTAATTTTTTTTATTAAAATATGAGTTTAATTTTAATACATTATCAGAATTTTTTTTTATACAATCAACTAATTAAATTTTATAATAGGTAAAATTTTTAAACTAACTACTACAAAAATGAACAATTTGTAGTGACATGATAATTCATGATTAGACTTATAAATCATACTAGCACTGAAAATACTAAAATGTCTTGATTTCTATCAATCAATCTCAAGCTTTAATTAATTTATTATAATCGACAGAAGTTAGCTACAATTTTATGAATATTTTTTTATTTTTAAATAAAATTAAAAATTATCTTAATAAAATATATATATTTATTGTTTCTGTAAGTTATTAAAATGGAGCTCAAAATTTAATTAAAAATTATAAAAAAACTATGTCTAACTTTTATTCTATCAAAATTTCCTACCACTACGAACATTCGATTCACTAGTAAAAATAGCACTTGGTAGAAAAATCTCGAGTTGGTACTTATAACATTGTTAAAAGCATATAAATTAGCACAGTGAATCAGTTTAATCAATGCTAAAAATAATAATTTTTAATTAATTTATTTACAAAACCTTAAAAGAAATTGTTTTTGTTTTCAAAATCAATCAAACATGTCTATAAAATTCCCAGAATAGTCTTCTATGAAGTAAGTAACATTAACCTTTTAAATGATATATTTTTATGCACACAACAAATATTGAATTGTAAGAGTTGCTGGTCAGGGCAATAACTGAACAAACCCATAATACTGGGACTGTTCGATTAGGAAAAAATGTTAAAAATGTGATTAAATTAACAACTGATTTAATTGAATAGATACAATATCACGGATTTAAGTCATAGCATTAAAAAAAATAAAGTATTATTACGAAGCAATGAGGTGTTACCACGTGGAATACGAACGGTTGAACCTATTTTAGAAATTCCAGGGCACTGAGGAATATTCCTTTTAATAAAAAAATAAAAAAGAAAAAGAAATTGCAGATAGGAACACGGGTATATAAAGAAGAGGCGAGTGGGAGAGCATGTTAGCCACGCGCGTGTGATTGTAATATTGCTTTGGAGAGGCCGTGTGGGTTGTTGGAATTCTCCAAAAAGCTATGCTCTGCCACTCACACATGCAAATGCAAACGGGTATGGATGCGGATGCCGATGCGTAAGATAGTGCAACAATCAAACACAGCGCACGATAGCCTTCCCCCATGCTTGGAGTTCTCTGCGCCACTCGCCCAAAACCGTGGATCTTCTCTCTCGTTCACGCGTCGCCGGCTCGTCTGGCTCACACCTCGTTCTCTCTTTCTGTCTCGCCGCCGCCGCCACGTTTCGACGGTTTCATCCGTCGCCGTCATTCCAGCGACTGTAAACTCTTCGGCTCCGGTGGCGGCGCCGCCTCAATATGGCACGCCATCATGCCACGCCGTGGTGACGGATTCCGGCGCGGAGTGGTTACAGTGCATGAGTTGAAGGGAGAGGGATCGTGGAACGTGGCTTGGGACGCCCGACCGGCGAGGTGGCTCCACCGTCCTGACTCGGCTTGGCTTCTCTTCGGCGTGTGTGCGTGCCTCGCACCTCCGGTTTGTGTCGATGTCGATTCCGAAGCGGCGCCCGGAGCTGCTGCAGTGGTCTCCGACGAGATTTGCAGGAGAGAGGAATTGGTGGATAAAGAAGAGAAGGATGAGGTTTTTGCTGATTACAGAGTAACTGGTTAGTTATATTTCGTTTGCTCTTTTTTTTTTCCTTTATTTTTAATATTATGTTTGTTAGATTGTAAGATTGTTTAAGTGGATCAGCATTTTACATTCTGTAAAAGAAGATGGATTTGTCGTGTGACTGCTTTTAGTCTTAATCTGAGTTGAGACACTTTTTAACTAATTTATGAACAATGAAATTGGATTTATGTTTCAATTGAACTGTTTTAAGTTTTTCAAATTACAGAGTATTCATTTTTGTTTAAATTTGTTTTTGTTATTGACAACATTGAAGAGTTTTAATTGAATCGATTTTATTTTTTTTATGTTTTCAGTATTTAGTTGTTTTCCTTTTTAATATCTTTTATGTTAAAAATTGCATTGATGATTTTGTTTAGCACCGAGACCAAAAGTTTGAGTGAGATTGTGTGAAAGTTAATATATTGATTTGTTTGTAAGTTATCTGGTACAGGGGTGCCTGCTGATGGTCGGTGTTTGTTTAGAGCAATAGCTCATAGTGCTTGCTTGAGAAATGGAGAAAAAGCACCTAATGAGAATGAGCAGAGGGACTTGGCTGATGAATTAAGAGCTCGAGTAAGATCAGTGTTTAGATAGATAATAAGTTTTTTGTTCTTTTCCAATTTCTTAACGTTTTTTGTGTTCCCAATTTAGGTGGTGGATGAGTTGCTAAAACGGCGAGAGGAAACAGAATGGTTAGATTTGCAAGATAAATATCACTCTCTTGGCATGTGCTTTTGTTATTTATTTTGTCTTATTTATCTGCAGGTTTATAGAAGGAGATTTTGATGCATACGTGAAGAGAATTCAACAGCCTTATGTATGGGGCGGAGAACCAGAGCTGTTAATGGCTTCGCATGTCTTGAGGTGAGTTTTATAAATGTGTCTTACTCGTATATATTATTTTATAATTGAATTTAAACATGTGTCTTGATGTATATTTTATTGACTAGAAGCTGTTTACTTAAATTTCAATTACCATCTATCGTTGGTAAGTTTAAATTGATACATCAATGATATAGAACGATGGACATAACGCTGTAGCAAATAAATTAAACAAAAATTAATCCCAAATTCTCATACACTTTATACGGTAACAGAAACAGTAAAATTAATGGATGTAAAACATGTGAATCCATCCATCACATAATAAACTATAAATTAACAAGTTTCTAGAACTAGAAAAGTTTAGGGATATTCTATGATGCAATAACTTAACCCAGAGATAATTTTTTTTTTTACATTTTCCGCTGTTCTGATTCTTCTTTATCTTGTATCTAACATGTTTTTCATAACTTGTTAGGACGCCAATATCTGTTTTCATGAGAGACCCAAGCTCAGTTGATTTGGTAAACATAGCAAAATATGGCGAAGAATATAGAAACGGCGAAGAAAATTCCATCAATGTGCTGTTTCATGGATACGGTCACTATGATATGTTAGAGAACTTGTGACCAAAGATGCATGGAAATAAACCGTTAGTACAGCGCAAAACTCACTTCCTTTAATCATATGTGATTTAAGACCTTATTACACAAGTTCCTTTTCCATTCGTTTTGAGAATATTCAAGTGAATTTAATAATTTCTAGGATTGTAGTTTTAAGTTATAGCAATTTAAGTAACATCTCTACACAATTTTTGTTTTTTTCCCTGATATTTAAATTTCAGTATAACACGATTATTATGGATTAAAAATATATAATAATAATAATTTGATAAATAATGATTTGGAATTTGTGAAGGACACTGGCAAGTGATTCATGAATTTTACTATTTTATAATATATAAGACGTATTAATTAGACTCTTTCCCTTTTCTTCAATTCCTAAAACTCTCTATAAAACTAGTATTTATTTACATATTTCTAATCTGTGCAAAATATATTGGCAATTTTTTTCTTAGATTAAGCTCACACATAATTCATTCAGTGAACTACTCGTTCCTTCGCCTCAACCCGATGTTTTGTCACCAGAAAAGTATTAAATGAGCTAGTTTTAACTAATTTAACTTTAATTCATGTAGAAATGTGGATTAGCACTAAAATATATAAGATCAAAAAGTTCATCATCTAAAAAGTCTATAGAGTTAAAAAAAAACCATTAAATTAAGTGGGCTGAAAGTAACCTATAAACTATCTTTAAAAAAATTATTATAATTTATTAAAAATATTTATTTTATATAACATTTTTTACTATAAATTTATAGATAAATAAAAATTATTTCAAATAGATAAAAAATAATTAAATTTTTATAATATTAAATATTTGGAATGAATTATTATTATTAAATACAATATAATAATTTATTATAAAACTAAGTTATATATTTATCTCATTTTTATCTGTATTATTAATAATTATTAAATTATAGTACTATTTTTTATTTATATAATTTTATAAATAATTTCTTATCATATTTTTTATAATTTTATTTGTATTTAATCATAAAATTTGTCATATTTTAATATTTTTTATTTATTTATTTTTATAAAATTATTTTAGAAGTATCATATGTTTAATAAATATTTTTAAATCTGATAAAAAAATAAATTAAATTTGTTAAGTCATCTTTTATCAAAATCTAGGTTATCATCTTTTATAATATATATATATATATATATATATATATATATATATTAATGTTTAAAATTAAAGTAATTCAATTACATGCAATGTTTGAAAAGAGATAAAACCATGTAGTTAGTTATTTGGGATAAGATGTAGGTTATAGTTAATATTAACAGTTTTAAGAATACATGACAAAACTAGAATGAAATAAATTTTTAAAAATAAAATTTATTTTAATAGTAAAAAAATAAATGAAAATTTAAAATGTTTTTTACAACAACAATAATAATAATAATAAGAAGTAGAACAAACAATATATATAGACCCCTAGCCTTTAGAACTAAAACCAAGCAACTGGCGGTAACAAAAGGCTTTATTTAAAAATTATATTGAGCATATAAAAGTATAAAAAAAAATTATTATTTTAAATATTTAACATCACTTTTAAGACTAAAATTAATAAAATTGAAATTCTTCTGATATAATTCTTAAACTTTTAGTTTTAGATAATTTACATATTTTATAATTTATTTTTATGTTTTTCTTTTTTTTATTTACCAAAAAAATTAATAAAATTGAAATAATAATAATAAGAATTTTGTTAATAAGTATTTTAAAAATATTAGTTAAAGAATTACTAAATGTTTTTCTATATTTTTTAAATAATAACAATTTATATTTTTAAAATAAAAAAAAAGTTCCATTAAACTCGGAAAATTTGAATACTTTTTATATTCGTATAATCAATCTTAAGAGTTAGCATTAAACGTAGAATCTAACTGCACGCTTCATCTATACGCATCAAAACACAAAAAGCATTTTCCAAGTTGTGAAAGGGAAAAAAGAAACAGACTTTTGGGTGAGCACACGGAAGGAATAAAGGCACCAAAGGTGACACATCCATTTGCCATTGCATCCTTCCAATCCCTGCGGTTCCTTCTTTCCTTTGCCCTTTATTGCATAAATCATTTTTTGAGTAAATTAATAAAATTAAAATATTTTTATCATAAATTATATTAATTTTCTAGTAAATTAACAAAAATTTAGAAATAATATTTTTGTTCCATTTATTTATTTTAATGTTATTGCAACAGAAATTCTAAGACATGGAGGAAGATTTTTACCAAATGCTATATGGTTGATATAACAAATTTAACAGGTGAAAACAAAAGAAACTCTGTTTTAGTTTCTTAAATATAAGCATTAATTATTTTAGTCTCTAAATTTATAAATTTTAATATTTAATCCTTTATTTTATTGACCAATAGTCCACTATGAATTCTCCTCCAGTGTAATTAAGCTATTAGTTCTTCTGCATGCTCCTTGCAAGTTTTTTAGAATGCTAAGAACAATATTTTCTTAGATATGGATTACATCTTACTTAATCTTTGTTTAAAAGAGTACAATTTAGTATTTTATAGGGCTGGTTTGAATTTATGTGACTCAATTTAGGAAGTTGCTTTTTCACCTCAATTTTTACTCTTTAAACACATTATTTATTATTATTATTTCAAAATTATCATGTAACATATCAAGAATGTATTGATAGTACTACTATTCACATGGTTTCTGTACTTATAAATTTAGGTCCAAAATTACACTAATAATGTTACTCTCTCCTTACAATTAAATTTGTAACTCAATAATTTAAATAATAAAGTTAAAATTAAAAGTTAATACACTAATATTAAAAATCTACATATATTATTAAACTAAATTTTAATTAAAAATAATATTAATATTATGACTAAATTTAAATTTTGATAAAATCTATCGTACATTCAACATGTTCTGGTAAGTTTTACAAGCCCTTTAAATTTCTAAATTTTACTTTAATATTTTTAAAGTTAAACTCTAAAAAACTTAAAAATTAAAAGAAAATAAAGATCTAGAAACGGTCGTCAAGAGGCATGGTAACATAAATAATTGCATAAGAAAAATAAGATCATCGTTGTTACATTGATTTATTTATTTTTTAATTATCATCACAATAGTATTTTTTAATAAATAAAAATTGCATTAAAAATAACTTTAAAATATCGTACGAATACTTTTTATTATTAATAATTTTAAAAAAAATTGCATTATATTACTTTTGCGGGAATACGTCCTCAGAGTTTTATTTTTATTTAGATTTTTCTTTAAAAGAAAACTGTTTTATAATGTTATTACATTATTCTTCAGAGTAAAAGAAAAAAACATGTTTAGTCAAATTCAAAAACATAATTTTAATCGTTAAAGTAAAGAATGTATTGGTTTAAGTTTTTCCGAAAAACAATAATCAGAACATGCTAAAAGGTTACGATAATTAAATGAATTTTTAAAACAAAAATAATTTACATGTGTTTCTTTTCCTTTTTTTGTTTAAAACAACATAATTTTCACTAGATACAATCTTGTTTAACTTGATTAAAATTATTATGAATGACAGTATTTTTTTTATTGATTCAAATTTAAGACCACATATTAAATTAAAAAATTTGTAAGTATTTTTTTTTGTAAAATTAAGAAAAAATTAAAAAGTATGGCAAGAATATTTTTTTGTTAATTTCTTTATTATAAGTTTGAGTTCCTTTTTTTTTAACAGAATATGTTTTAAAAATTAATTCTATTTTTTATTCTTATTAAATCACATGAGTTCTCATATATTACACTTTTAATTTTATTTTGTTAATTTTATATCATTTTTAAATATTATTTATAAATGCAATTTAAATTTTATTTCAACTTTAAGTTTTCATACATTATATCAAATAAAAACTATTTTTTAGATAAACTAAATTTTTTGCCACATGTCATTATATAAAAAGTCAAAATTAAGTGTTTTTGTTTATTCCCTTTGATGTATTTTTACTTAAAAGACAATATATTAAAGATTTTAATTAATCATACTTTTCACATTAGGACTTGTGGTTATTTGAAGACACGACTTTCATGGGATTCCATTTGGTTTGTTGATTTAGGCATAACTGTCCCCAAAATATCCTCAAAATAATGCATAGTTTATGCAAACATTTACGCAAGTAAAGTAACTCATGTCAGGCCTCAATGATTACAAAACCAACTCATGCAAGAGAGGATGTATACTATTTTCTTTATTTTTAATAATCAAAGGTAATATTAATTACTATTTTTTTTAAAAAAAAGCCACAGGTATTTTCATGTATTTAAACTTGCTCGGAGGTTATTAATTAGTATCTTTGCGACATTAATTAAAGTATTACAAGTTAAAAAATATATAAAAATAATATTTAAATTAGTATCTTTGTGACATTAATGAATGTATTAGAAGTTAAAAATATATAAAAATAATATTTAAATATACGTACATGTTTGATTTGGATTGGATTAAATTAGCTTTTAAAATTAAATAAAAATTTGATCCAATTTTTTTTTAAATTGTGCTTTTTTTCTTCTAATTTATGGTTAGTTCATCTTTCAGTATTTAATTAGTTCAACTTCAATTAGTATGCTTCTCATAGATTGTACATTTATTATTACTTAAAATAAATTTTTAAATGAAATTTAAAATTAATATTTTAAATATTAATAATAAATATATTATTACACTAAATAAAATTTAATTAAAGAGATAAAATTTTCAATTTTCAAAATCTAAATAAATAGAAGGTTGAATTAAAAAATGAAAATAAAATTAACATCTAAAAATACTCTAGTTTAAAAATTATGACTCAAAATTATATATAGAGGCAGATATTTGAATTCATTTTTTTGTAATTTATGAACACCCCTATCAAGGCAGCATAGAGGAGAAAATGATTTTGACCCTTACATAAGAGAAAATCAATTCACTTTATCTGATAAATATTGCGGTAATGATTATTATTAAATAATTAAATGAAAATATTGTTGTCATAAAAAAAGGAATCAAATATAAAATAATTAATTTCATTTAACTATTGCTGATATTATAAAGGAAAAATATTAAAAAAATTAATATACATTTAATATTTATTAAATTTATAGTTTCTATTAAATAGAAAGTTATTTATTCGTAAAACAACTACAAAGTAATAAATACATAAATTTAAAACCATTAATTAAATTATATATGTATAAGTGAATTCATTTTAATTTTTAAATTATATTAAAAATTTACCACTCGCTGTGATCTTATCCAAATGTAATTTTTAGACAATAATAATCCTAAGCTAAAAAAGAGTTTACAATCTCAATTAACTCAATCTAAAGGACAAACCTTAAATTAGGTTAATGGTTTAATTTTAATAAGAAAGGTTAAACCTTAATTTCAGCCGGGTCAAGTCTCGGGTTAAAACATTGAAAAAACTAATAAACCCGATCCAAACTAATATGTGTATATATTCACAAATTGAAGGATTCATTTGCATTCTTCATTGATTTTCCATACAATAACTCATCTTCTTCAGTCGAATTTTTGTTGCCCTCGTGATTTGCCTATGAATTGGCTATACTGAGAGTTGTTGTTCAATAGATCTCATTGCCGTTGTACTCGTAGCTCTTGCCATCTCTATGAACTTTCAATTCAAACCAAGGTATGTGTTGATGTCTTCTCATTTTCATGTTCTATTTGTTCGATTTAGCATCTATACTTTGCCCTATGTTGCCTGCATTTGTTGCATGTCTTGTTAGTGTTGTCTAAAATTTATGAGTCAACTTCTACTCTCTTTGGTGTCAACCAATCTTTTATATACAAGACTTGTACTTTTTTTTTTATTTTTCTTATTTATTTTCAATTTTTTCAAAAGATTACAATCCAATCACTTCCCTAGACCAAATTCAATTTGGGTTGGCCAATTAAAATTAGAGAATGTCTTTTCACACTCCTCTTTCTTTTTCTTTTTTTAATTCTCATCCCTTGAACATTTTCTATATTTCTAAAATATTAATCTAGAAAATGATTTACAAATCACTTTCAATTTTTTTTTCAAAAAATATCTTTTCATATTTCAAAAATTTAATTGTAAAAAATAATTTATAAATAACAAATTTAATTTTTAAAAAGTCTTTAAAATTAATTTTTCAAATAACTAGGTTAAAGATGTAAATAGAAATGAACTTAAAATTTGATCTGAACCATCTTCTATTATAACGAAAATTAAAGGTTTAATTTTATTTTTGTTTAAACAAAAATGAGCTCATTTAAGTAAAAATAAAAAAAATACACAAAACTCATTTAAATGAGTGAGTAAAAGAGGGAGTTAGAAAAGAAGAGATAAGTTGAGTATGGAAAAAAGAGAAGAAGAAATTGGACATAAAGATTGAAGGAGTGTTGAGTATGTAGGAAGAGAAAAAGTACAAGAATGAGAAAGAAAGTATAAAATTTACAAATTTAGAATTTATTTAAATAAATTTTGCATATACTTTTTTATCATTTTTGTATTTTTTATTAAATTTATTTTATTTAAGAAAAAATGAATCTAACATTGATTCCCGCTACAATAAGAGAGAATCAACATCCCTTAAAGATAAATTAAAAAAATTAAACTAACAAACAATTTTAATTGATTAGAACTTTTTTTTTTTCAAATCGACCCTCACCTTCTCGTGTACATGTCATATTCTCCTCGACTAAAAATAGAAGTACAAAATTAAATAAGAAAAAAAACCAAAATTGAAGGTACTATTAATTAATGTAAAAAAAAATTGAAAATAACACTAAGAATATAAATTCTACAACTAGATAGATAGTTCCTGGCATGAAACTTTGAACAATGTTACACGAAAATTACAAATTGTACTCATATATGTTCACCAAATACTGTATTGCGAGAGTAGTAACATCCAATATAAAGTTTTGTAACCAGTGACCAAAACAATTAATACTGTAATAACTCAAATTTACATGAAATCAGCATAGTAAATGTTATAAAATAAGGTCTGAAAGGGTAGAGACAGCTCGATTCTCTGTTTCGTAAAGTCATTAATGGGTAAGAGAATAAAAACAGAAACAAGTCATTGGAGAAGCAAAAGATAAAACCATGAACGCATGGTGTGAGTGCTCAGTTTAGATTCTTTTACACAAAGGGTGTCCCAAACTAACATGTACTTTTTTTAATATTATTTAAAACTCTTATAATCTATCGTTTTATCTTTCTCCCTCTTCTCTCTCTCTCTCTCTCTCAGACTCACTCTGTTTCCATTCCGGTAATGACTATACCTTAAGTTTTGTGAGGCGCTCAGTGCGGCTATGTACCCTTAAGGCAGATAGGTGAGCTGAGCTTCAAAAGAACATTTTTTTTAATACCATTTTTGCTATTTCGTATTAATGTTCTACATAATTAGCATACAATGAACAAAATCAAGACAAGTTTTTTCGTGTATCCTTCATTTCACAGATTCTGAAGATTCTGTTTTATATCGTTTATTGTGACAAAATCCCATATATTTATGTCGGATTTTAATCAGTCAATATAGTCAGATTCACAACTACCAATAAAAATCTTCTTTTGGTATTGTGTGCTGGACACATGTGCTTTTACTTTTAGTTAACCATTGTTATTCACCATTTCCATGTTCATGTCATTCATTTCAACATTTAAAGCAGGCATTGAATAATATGTGCCTAAGGGGAGTTTTTATTTTTATGGTTTAATATGTTGCTATGTTATCGTGTAACAGTGGCTATGCTGAGGAATGTGTTGGAAGGGTTGTGACAGGTTGAGATCAGACAATGAGTTAAAACTAAGAATTACATGAATTCATCGGGATTCGTATGATTCAGGGCAAAATCTAGATTACTTCTGAAGAAGCTGTAGAACTTGTAGCTTTGGCCTAGTCCATCAAGATCATAAAGCTTTGAAATTTCTTCAGATGGGTGAGCAACAACATAGCAGGTGAGATCCTCTATTGAATTGTTTTTTTGTGGATTCTCATGAGTTGAATACACTGTCAATGTGAATGTTGATCCTTTGTTTGATTGAATATTTGACATATTTTGAGTGGAAAGTATGTTCAGCATATAATTGGGAATAACACAAATAACCTTGTTTGCAGTTAGATATTGTACATGAACAGGTAACATGATAAACAATACCTGACAAAATTTATTTATGCTTGAAAAGTTCTTATACATCTTGTACTGAAATATGGTGTTTCTTGAGTTGGTTGGAGGCTGTTTGGTGTTAATGGCATTGCTTGTTGATCACATACATAATGTGGAACCCAAAATGGCTTACCTTCTTGTTTATCCTTCCCTTATATGTATTGGTCTTCCTCAATTCTTGATTCTACGTGCAATGTTTCATTTCTAATATCACCTACAAGTTTTAATGTAAATGTCTATGTTTTCTTTTGGTTATAGTAATTCCATCGCAATGTTTGACATATGATGGGATTCTGTTAGGGTTACATTCATTTTTCAAGTAAGTAATATAGCTATAAACGTCATTCTGATGCAGCTAATAGCAGTGACGAGTTTGATGTGATCTATGCAGAAATTTTATCTATGCTAATTGCTATTGAAATTCCATTCCTATATTGACAATAACGTTACAGAAAGTATGTTCAGAGTTGCTTTTTCCGCTTAATTGTTTGAAAAAAGGTTACACTTGTAAACAAGCATACATAGCAATTTTTTTAATAAATAAAAATAATAATAAAAACATATTAAAAAGTTATGATAATTAAATGAATCTTTGAAATCAAAATGCAAATAATGTTTTTTTTATGAACATGAGATTTTTTAAAAAATATTTTTATTTTTAGGAAAAAGTATATTTATCTACTTGTATGTTTAATCATATGTAATTTAGATTTGACTTTTGAAAATGTGCAATGTAATGTTATGTACTTTTGAAAATATATAAGAAAATTCTTCTGTTATTTAGCCATCCAATCTTTCTGTTTTCTTGGACAAAAATATTCTCATTTTTTATAGTATTTTATCTAAAAAATGAAAAAAATTAGACGGTTGAGTAACAAAAGAAATTTTTTTGTACACTTTCAAAAGTAGATGACGTATTACTCGCAAATCTAAATTACACATGACCAAACATATAAAGAGATAAAATATAAATTATGTAACTTCTCATATATTAAGTATTTATTTTTATTTTTATTAATTTTTTCCTATAAAAAAATTATTTTTTTTATAAACTAAATTTAAAAAGTATTATATTGTAATTAACCATTCTTTTATTTTTTTCTAATTTTTGTTAGTTCAATTTTATGTTATTCATACATTGCACATTTATTATTAAATTAAAATAAAATGTCCAAATATACTATATAAATATTTTTAAATATAAAGTCTATAAATTAAAAGAAAAATATTTAAATATTAATAATAAATACATTATTATATTAAATAAGACTAAATTGTCAAATGAAACAAAACAAGAATTTACATCATATAAACTATAGATTCGAACCCTCACTCGGTTTTAGGTTCACAATCGTTTTTATAGAGTAACATTCCAAAAATAAGACTAAATTAAAAAATAAATTTTAAAAAATTTAATAAAAGATTATGTTAAAAAAATAAAATCAATACCTATTTATTTAATATAACTATTGAAAATATGCTTTTTGAATCGACTAACAAGACTTTTGAATTGAATTTTTTTATATATATAATTTATGAACATCTCCTAACAAGACATAGAGAGCATACAACGATTTTGACCTTTACATAAGAGGAAATCAATTCATTTTATCTCATACATTCCTAGTATGGTAATACTTTTTATTAAATAATCAAATGAAAAGATTGTTCTCAGAAAATAAAAAGCAATCAAATCTAAAATAATTAATTTCATTTAGCTATCGTCGATATTATTTAGGAAAATTAATAATAAAAATTTAATATACGTGGAATTAGTAAATAACTAGTCTCTATTATTGAATATTGCCCATGATTGCTATATTTTCTTGGACATTCCATTTGTGCGTGTTGATCGTTTCCTGGCCTTTTCACCCCAACAATGTATATAATATAATACCAATGTAATTAAGAGGCCTTATTGTTTGAGTGGCCCTTATTAGCCCGTACTAGTTAGTACACTTGTACTTGAGCTGGAATATTGTATAAATAGGCGCATTGATTTGGTGTTTTGTAACACATGATCATATTAATATACTCTCCATTTCCTCATATCATAATGTCCTCAGTAATACCGTTTTAAACTTTCAGAATTTCAATGATGAACTTTGGAGAACAACTTTTGGGTGAAGATGATAGACAATTTGAAATGAACAATACATGGGTACCCATCACCCCAGAGAAGCTGACTCTAGTAAGATCAAATTATCAAGAACTAGGGGTACCTGGAAGCGAGTACAAGAAAGAGCAGCTGCTGCATTACCATGGAGCAGATCAGAATCTCCACCTGATAGGAGAAGCAGGTCGAACTAGAGAAAACAAAAATTTTGATGGCAACTCAGCTAATAGGACCAATGCTCTCAATCACATTGCAGGCTCTTACACCCAGGCGTGGCACTATGAGAGCAGTGGATCAAACAGTAATACCTTGGAACAGCTCCTCAAGAACAATGCAACTAAAATAGTTTCCCCTAACAGGAATTTGGATGCGAACAACATGGCAGCAAGAAATTCACTGGTACCAAAATTTTACCCTCAGGCTAGCAGTGATGTGAGTAATTCCTATGTAGGTGTACAAAGATGCAATGTCAGTTCTGCTTCAGACACTCTGCTCAAAGAAGCAAATAGATTTCTGATTCCAAATAGGAATTCTGAATTTGGTGGCAGCAACTTGAACAGCTTGCTCAACAATGACATTCACTGTTCAGTCCCATACCAACTGGATGACTTCTACTCTGAGATACCCTATGGTAACTTTCTTCTGCAAATGAAACTCAGAAATTTTAGTGCTTACAATGGCTTTCTAATGATATTCTAGCCGACTGAAACACAACGAATTTAGACAACTGAATTAGAAATATACTATTCAATTGCATATCACATGTAGCCACACAAACTGACAGGTTATATTTTTGCCAAATTAATAAATAGATAATAAACTGAATCTCCAGGGTCCATAACAGTTAATTTGCATTAAGTAATTTTATATTCAAAGATTACATTAAAAATTCAAGGGCAAATTCCATGTATCAGTAACCCAAAAGACGTTAATTTTCATAACACTGATATAAAAGTGATTATTCTTTCACAAAACATGACTTTATAAACATTGAAAATGAATGTAGACAATAGTTTCTTCAAAACTTATTTTATCTCTCTTTTACCTGCAATTGATATCCCTCACCAAATTACACAGTAAGCAGCAAAGAGAAACTATGATAAAAATTGTGGTGTTACAAACACAACTCCATTTCTTTTGGCAGTTTAAACAATACCTTTTTGCATCCATTATGATCTCAGCAATTAATGGGTTAGTGACTAAAACTGGTTTTACAGGTGATTCTTACCCCAATTATAATATGAATTATGCACCACTAGCTGAAGCTGATGCCACCACTAGTTTCAGCAATTCCCTCCAATCAATACCAACAATGGATCAGCTCGAGTTCATGAACGACCAGTTTTGTTCAATACCAGATTACACAATAGCTGAAAGCACAAGTCAGGAGAAAAACAAACAAAAAGACTTGGTTTCATCCACACAGAATGAAATTCAGGAATATTGTGATGGGCTTCTACAACAAATAGTAGATTCATCATCTGCAGCAATTTCTGCAACATATGGGGATCAAAAGAGTTCTGACAGCAATATATGTGGCAAGGAAAGTGACCTGGGATTTGACCTGAACAAAACACCTGAGCAGAAAGCACCCAAACGAAGAAAGCATAGGCCAAAAGTAATTGTAGAGGCCAAGCCCAAAAGAAATCCAAGGCATGGAACTCAGAAGACACAGATCAAGGAGAATCTGCACAGAAAGAGGAAGAATGTCCCAAACATTGCAGCAACACCGCAGATTGATGCTATAGATAAAACTGCTGATTCTACAGTTGCCACTAAAAAATCCTGCAGGAGAGCTCTAAATTTTGACTCTGAAAATAGCAGATGCCAAAGCCAGAGCAGAATAGTTTGTCAGCAGGAGATCCACAATAGAAATGAGAAAGCTTTCAGTATCACTTCAGATCACAAGGCCACAGACATGCTTGGGGGACCAACCATAACAAATGGTACAAAATCAGCTTTGCTGATCAGCCAGAATGATCAACTTACAGTACGAAACCAACAATGCCGAAACATTGATGATAATACACTTCTATTGCATGAAAAGAAAACTAATTATTTCCCATCAGAAGGGAAATTAGGCACAGTCTTGTCAGCAACTACAGAAGAACAGCAGATAGAAAAATTTCCACACACTGAAGAAAGTCTAGCACAGGGAAATTCTGATATGTGCCAGGAAGGAAATAATGGATGTATGCACCAATTTCATGCTAAGGAATTAGACTACAGCCTATTTCAATCACAAATATGTTTTGGAAACTCTCAGAACACCGGAGAACTGATTTGTCAGAATACCCTTCAATTGCAGACTAACATTGTATCTGATTCCATTGAAGGAAAGGGTTCCAAGAGAACATATTATAACAGCATTAAGAACCAACATGACTCAGCCAGAAATCCACATGATATTTCCTTGTGTCAAGAGAGTTTACATGCAGATGGCAATAAAAAGCAGAAGAATAAAAATACTCAAAAGAAAGTCAATATAAACATCTGTGGAAGGTCCTCCGGTCAAATAATGTCTAAAGGGAAATCACAGAAAGCAAGAATTAAAGAAAAAAATGGATTTCAATCAGAGTCTAATGAAGGAATGCCAAACATCTGTATTGAAAGGAAAAGATTTGTAGAGCAGCAAAACAATGGAGCCAGCACTGGTGAATGCTTTGCTATCCCAAGTTATGCATGCTTTGTAAAGGAATGGTCTTTTCAGTATACATATAATGACAATGATCTGTTTCTTAATTTTCAGGAGAACCGCACCAGATATGCTCCACTCTGATAGATGAGATAATTTGTCAACTGAATGGTCTCAACCTTGGGAAGAGCAACTTATCAGACATTGAAGCACAAAAGGCACTTGTCCCATATAACGGAGATGGTTCAATTGTACCCTACCAGCAATTTGAATTAACAAAAAGACAAAAACCAAGGCCTAAAGTGGATCTTGACTCAGAAACAGAGAGAATCTGGAAACTGTTGATGGGCAAGGAAGGAAGTGAAGGCATTGAAGGAATTGACAAGGAAAAGGAGAAGTGGTGGGAAGAAGAAAGAAATGTTTTTCATGGACGAGTTGATTCCTTCATTGCACGGATGCATCTTATTCAAGGTATGATACATCATACCCAAACATCAAGTACCAAGAATCCGAAAACGTGCTAACACTACATGAGCTCAAGAGACATTCTTTACTTTCTGTAATGTCTACAACCATTTCTGTTTCTTCGCAAGTTATAATAATTGACATTAAACTTCTCATTAGAATGTTCCTAGATATATTTGTAAGTGTTAGAACTAATTCAGGCTAGGAAGAGAGAGAGATGGTAAATGATAGCTTATTGAATGTATGATAAGATGAAAGTCATACCTTACACTAAATTAATCCTGCTGTCACATAATAATTAGGTCGAGCACTAGTACTACTGGCTCAAGCCACTTATATCAAGACTAATAACCATAATATCCTAACAGCATTCTTTCTTAAAAAATAGTTTAAAACATAAAAGAAAAGAAACATGTCAAGGCACACAAACATGAATGGACAACAAAATCAGATATTTTCACCAACAGCTCTTCAGCATATTTATTAATAGCAAAAACAGAGGATAACAATTTATAAAAAATGTTCACTTTATTGCAAAATTATTCACCTGTCAACATATATTTATAAGATGAAATACACCTCTGCAGGAGATAGACGTTTTTCAAAATGGAAAGGATCTGTTGTTGACTCAGTGATAGGTGTTTTCCTCACTCAGAATGTTTCAGACCATCTTTCAAGGTAAGCTAAATATCAGTGATAGGTGTTTTCTTTACTTGGGAAGCTTCACCAAAATATCAAATACTAGTGCAAGATGATATGCAACCTTGCCAAAAAATTATGCTTCTTTTCTTTCTTTGCAGCTCTGCCTTTATGTCCCTGACAGCAAGGTTTCCTCTCAAGTCAAAAAGCAGCAACACATCATATGATATTGTTGCCATAGATGCATTGCTTGAAGAAGCAGAACTCTGGATATTAAATCCAGCTGATACAATAACATCAATTGGAAGAGGGACATTAAATCAGCCAACCTATCATCTTGGCTTTGAGACATCCCATCATACAAGAGAGCTTTGGAGAGAGAGTGAAACCCCAAGGACAAGACAAAACCTAATAAAGCTAAATAATCAGAGCTCAGAGGAAGAATTTTTATCATCGCAAGATTCACTTGATTCCTCAATCACTCAAGATGCCAGAATTAGATGCTCTTCAGGATCCAACTCAGAATCAGAAGGACTTGACAGTAGGTGTGAACCAAGACTGACTCAGCTTTTAACTTCAACAACTTCTTTACAGGTAGGAAGGACCGCTATGTTCCAGGAATTTTATAACAGTGTAAATGGGGTGTCACTGTTTGAGGAGAGAACCAAAGATGAAAAGCTGCATCAAACTGAACACATGAAAAAAAATTGTGGAGTAGGCAGAAACAATATTCACTCAGCATTCAGTCATCCCAGCAACTTTATTTATCCACAAAAGCAACCACCGGTATTTCCTGCAACTGATTATGAGTTACATCACCCAGACACACAGGGGCTGCAGACTTTTCAATTGAATTGTGGGGAGTCTTCAAGGACTGAAACTGTTTCTGCATACAGTAAATTCCAGGACAACGATTGTGGGAGATTTGGCATTAGGGAAGTAGGAGATAGTGCAGATAACTATAAAGAGATGCAGTTTGGAAATGGAACTCTAGGGTCTCCAGAATTACCGACAATTAGCCCTTATGGACCATTGTGCAGGCATTTAGGCCTTCCAGAAGATACTTCTCAATCAAGACCTCAGACAAATCATAAGCAACCTTCATCGAACCATCATCTTGTAGGTCAGGAAACCATAGAATCAGAAAGTGGGCCATATACGAAGTCACTAAACACTTCTCACATATTGGGCAGAGGGCAAGATGTTGTAGTGAATGATCGCTGCACTATTTCTGAACATGCAGAAGGTGGACTTGACAGTGAAAAAATGATATCTGCTGCAAGAAGGCAAGGATGCTCAGACAATGGTAGGGCTAAATCAGAGCCACAGAAGAAAAAGAGAAAAATCAAGGTTTTAAAAGAAAGGAAAGTGAAACCTGAGACACAGAAAAAGCCTGCAGAAGACTGGGACAAACTAAGAAAGGATGTACAGGCAAATGGGACAGAGATAGACAGAAGCAAAGATACAATGGATTCACTGGACTACGAGGCAGTAAGATGTGCCTCTGTTAAAGAGATATCTGAAGCTATTAAAGAACGAGGGATGAACAACATGCTAGCAGAACGAATCAAGGTATATTCAACAAAGCAAGTTTATATTGAACACTGATTTTTGGCCAAAATATTATTAGACAAGTACTTCTATTATATTTCAGGAATTCCTGAACAGATTGGTTACAGAACATGGACGCATTGATCTTGAATGGTTAAGACATGTTCCCCCAGATAAAGCAAAGTAAGCCATTTTATTTCTTATATCACCATTCATATCCTAAGAAAGCCCCCATGTAGCAGTAGCAGACACTGGCTGCAAATAACAGCTTATAATGCAAATTAACCATGTCCTATCTATATGCTTTAACATCAAATGCAGGGACTACCTTCTAAGCATACGAGGACTGGGGTTAAAAAGTGTGGAATGTGTACGACTTCTGACACTTCATCATATTGCTTTCCCAGTAAGGCTTATTCAAAACCCATTCACTGCTTACTAGCCAATCCAAATCCATAAAAAGCTTTGCAATAACATGTTGCCATGAATCATGCCTTGAAGGTTGACACCAATGTTGGAAGGATAGCTGTTAGACTTGGATGGGTCCCTCTCCAACCACTTCCAGAAACACTTCAGTTACACCTCCTCGAACTGTAAGTATCTAATGCCAAACAGCAAAGATTTAAATGTATCATAGATAAAAGCTGCCAACTGCTGTGCCATGTAGGTATCCAGTGCTGGAATCAATTCAGAAGTATCTCTGGCCAAGATTGTGCAAACTTGATCAAAGAACCTTGTAAAACCATAACTCCACAACACTGTGCATTAGAAATAGCTGCTTTATTATGTTATGCTTAAATCTCTAACAGATATATAAATGGAATGCAGGTATGAGCTACACTACCAAATGATTACGTTTGGGAAGGTATACATAATATTTTTTTCACATTTGTGATAACATTCAGGGAACGGACACAATTTTAAAACTATTTTTGCTTCACAAGCATCAGAAAGGAGGTTAAGATTAATTCATGCTCAAAATATGTAGGTTTTCTGCACCAAGAAAAAACCAAATTGCAATGCGTGCCCAATGAGAGCAGAATGCAGACATTTTGCAAGTGCGTTTGCAAGGTTAGTTACTAAATATGTCAGTTTGTGTTACCTGCTTCCATCGATGTAATGCAAAATGCATGTAAAGCTATATATTAAACTATTAAAATTCTTGAGATACGAAAATCAATTCACAAATGTGTACAAAATTACATCTTCTTTGAGATTTGAAATCCAAAGCCAATTCAAAGGAACACAGCCAAACATGTAAAAACTAAAATATTATAACCACATCATTTAGATGAAAGAATAAAATATCAAAGAAACTTCAAAACAAGGACAGACAGTTTTTATTTATATTCTAGCATTACAAAAAATAAGATCCAGATATTAAATAAGTTATCAGGTCTGATTGTGGGTCTTAAAGCAAAATTAGCAGTCAAATTAGTTGTTTCATCAGTTTTCATGCAAATCAACCACCAAATATTTTAGAGTTCGTATGCACTTATTTAAACCCCTCATCATCTCCATCATTCAAAGTCAAGGCTCAATTCATCCTTTGGCCCCTTGTGCTTTAATGTACATTCTGAGTTCCTCTATCAAATTTTTCTTTGCAATGTTGTTTTCAGTTTCCTCTTACTTTAAACTTAGGATCCCCATCCTGTTGCTCATGATTCCAGTACTACACTATGGTTATTGGTGCAGTCAGTTTAGAAAATTTTGCACATCCACAATGGTTTTATTCCTTTACAGGGTAACTTTTGTTCTGGACTATTGACCAACGAATGATATCAACTTATTATCAAAAAGCAAAAGGCCACAATGTCAAATAAATTGTTTCAGCAGCATGACAGATGACATTTCCAAAATCTTAACATCACCCATCTCGACAAGTCCAAAGTAGATCCTATATGCCACAGTCAAATTTTGAAGCCTCTAAAATCATAAGTTCAAGAAGAAATATAAGGCTAACAACAAGCTATTGTTGAAAACAACCAGATAAACAAGCAAAAATGAAGTGTTCGTTTCAACTGCATCATTAGCATATAGTGCATCAGATACCTATTTCATTTTATAAGCCAACTAACCCTTTCAGTACAGTGCACGGCTTGCCTTGCCTGGACCAGAAGAGAAACGCATTGTGAGTATGCATGTTCCCATTGCAGCAGAGAGAAACTGTTATGTCAATAAGAACCCTGTGATCCTACCTCTCCCCGAGAACAACTTGATCAGAGAAGTAAGTCCTGAAAGTGGACAGTGCGAACCAATCATTGAAGAACCAGCAACACCTGAACAAGAGTGGACAGAGGAATTAGACAGTGACATTGAGGACTTCTTTAGGGAGGATCCTGATGAAATTCCTACTATCAACCTCAATATCAGAGAGTTTGCAATGAATGTACAGAACTGCTTGCAAGAATACAAGGAGCATCATGAAGGTGATGTGTCTAAGGCACTTGTTGCCTTGACTCCACAGTCTGCTTCTATCCCTACACCAAAACTGAAGAATGTGAGTCGGCTAAGAACAGAACACCACGTGTAAGTAGATTCTAGTATTGCTTGTAGCAACATAAATCTTGACAGAAAAACACATCTAACAAAAAACAGTCATGCTCTCTTCAAGCTGAGAAACCTATTTAGTGTGCTTAAAAAATTATTTTGCAGTACAATTAGCTGTAAAGACTATACAGCAGCTAATCACCCACAAGCACTTACAGTTCCTTGATAAAATTAGATCTGCACCTTTATAAAGATAATTTTGTCAGATTTCTACGTAGTTTAAGTATGTTGACAATGCAAAGCTTTTGGCTATATATTCACAAATACAAGTCCAAATGATAAGATGTGTGACACCTCTTTATTTTCAAGACCTAGCAAAAGTATTTCTGGGAGGTTTTTTTACTTGGCCTCACTACAGTAGTTGTCATAACTAGCATACTTGGAGTGAATTACTTGACTCTCTAGTTTCTAGATTAGGTGGCAGGTCAGTTTTTGAATGGAAATCTAAATCATGCTTTCTAACACCTCCCTGATTGATGCAGATATGAACTTCCAGATTCACACCCTCTCTTGGAAAAGGTCGGTGATTCTTTTCTTTATACTGCAACATGCAGTTATCAGCTTACAGAATTTTTTCTTATCTTGGTCTACTTAATAAATTTTACAGATGGATAAACGGGAACCTGATGACCCAAGCCCATATCTTCTTGCAATATGGACACCAGGTTAGCAAAAGACAACAGTCTGCAAAAGCTACCTTTTTACTTATATCCATGCTCAATAGACAGATTGGAAAGTAAAAGTGAAGCACATGCAAGATTATAATCATTTCTAAGATAGGTTAAAGTCAAAGAACAACACAGTCACTCATCTATATTTATGAATTATGACATTGAACATTAGGTGAGACTGCAAATTCCATAGAACCACCAGAAAGAAAGTGTGACTCCCAAGACTCGACCAACCTGTGCCATGACAAGACATGCTTTTCATGCAACAGCATTAGAGAAGCTAATTCACAAACAGTGAGAGGAACACTTCTGGTAAAGATTATTTGTGGATACAGAAGGATTAAAGTCACTATTTTCTTGACTTTCATTTTCTTTAACTTAAACAAATATTTTCCCATATGTAGATACCTTGTAGGACAGCAACTAGGGGAAGCTTTCCACTGAATGGGACTTACTTTCAAGTTAATGAGGTATGTGTAATAAAGGCTTTGTTAATATTTGATAACTTTAGCAAGTCTACCCTTATTTTAAATTTCATTATTCACTAACAAGATTCATAAACAACTTATTATCATGAAGTTATTTGCGGATCATGCATCCAGCATTCAACCCATTGATATCCCTAGGTCATGGATATGGAATTTGCCAAGGAGGACAGTATACTTTGGGACCTCTGTATCATCAATTTTCAGAGGTAGAAAAACTCTATATGCTCATCTACTACATGTTTATTCTAAACCAGTTTATCACATAATAGAATTGTACTCACCATAAATATTTATTTCTACTAGGCCTCTCAACCCAAGAAATTCAGTACTGCTTTTGGAGAGGTAGGCAGACTACTTTAAAATGTTTGCTTTATTTCTTCTTTTGTCCTGCTAGACATACTGATAACAGAGGAAAGAACAAATCCTTCCAACTGATAAGAAGGAAATACATGGTGTACCAAAATCTAAAATTACCAAACCTATATTGTTGAGAACTGCAAGTGAGTAATGCATACAAATGACAGTTATAAGCAACTGTCATTACATTTTTAATGCCATATTTAAACCATCACCTATACTCAAACAATTCAAGAAACATGCAAATACCTTCTCCAATCAGTGATTAATTCCCATATGCAGCTACAGAGTATCAGTGTTCAATCTTGTCATTCTTGTTAACAATTTCTTGTTTCATTTCAGGATTTGTTTGTGTCAGGGGATTTGATCAACAGAGCCGTGCACCCCGTCCTCTCCAAGCCAGACTGCATTTTACCGCAAATAGGTTAGCAAAGAAAGAAAAAAGAAAAATATGATAATGGGACCTGTTCAAGAATCAAGATATTTACCAGAAAAAGCTAGTCTTGAAGATCCAACTTTCCTAAGACCAGAGGGGATTGCCGCCTGCATGGCAGGGGATCATCAATGCATGCCTTTGCACCTTCAACTATTCTTTCTCTAACATGAAACAAATACACAGCATGTCATAAAGTATCCAAGTTTTCAGCTTAGGAAATGAAATTCCATAAATAGTGAGATTGACCAGTAAATCATCTATGTTCAGGCATGAAACAGCCACTTGTTAAAATCATGCTGACATTAATCAAAATCAATTGTAATTATTGCATTATTATCAATCGAAGAATTCATTGATAATAAACAGAAAATGCACCAATCAATCACATAAGTTTATTACTGCATGTCAAGTAACTTTGACTTTGGATTATTTCCATACACTGCACATGTATTTGACAGGAAATATCACAAGCAGCGGAATAAAAATGGTACATCATATTCAATTAACCGGTTAACCACTCAAGAGAGATAGTCACTATGAGAGGACTGCAATCACTTCGGACAAAGGCAATAATCATCTATACAATCCAATTATAATTTGAGGAGTATCTAGCTATTGAGAAACCCAGCTCATCTTAATTATGAACAAATTCAAGACAACCAATGGCTGTCTTACAAGTACAAAACCTGGTCCATCAAACAATAATTCTATCACAATTTTTAACAAAAATAATAATGATAGATAAATACCCCAGTTGTCATTCAAAACAGAAAGAATTGTTTTTACATGGAAATTTCCAATAGATAGGTCCATTCAAAGATTCAATACAGCAAAAGAAACATAATTTGCAATACAAGAGCAACAATACAGAAAATTCCATCTGATTATATTGCAGCTATTATTAATTGGCATATCTAACTGTTGAACATGGAGGGGGAGATTGAGAGAGAGAGAGAGAGAGAGAGAGAGAGAGAGAATAATCTTTTAGTGAGAATCTAGAGAAGGAAAACTATTTTCTTGTTCAAGAACATGTAATGTTGTTCTTCATATCATCCAAATATATAATCTCCTAATAGACTTAGAGGAGACTTTATTGCTATCAAAATGGGATACAATCTGTGAGTCAACCTGGCTCATGGTAGATACGATGTAAACTATGAAGCATCAATACTTATGTTTGCTTCGAGTATTCATATCGGATATATATCAAACACCCATACTCTCATATACTTCACCTATACATATTTACCAAGTACCCAAGCCTTTAAAAAAAGTTACAAAAATCTAATACAATCAAATATGAGACATATGAGCATGTAAAAGATAGAAACATGAAACCTGGTTTCTTGATGAACTAGAAATGGAAGCTATCCACTTAATGGATGATGCCCAAGGAAGGAATGAGATCAATATTGTTCCTATTTGTAGGCATCAGACAATAATTAATGATGACATTGATTTATAATTGTGTTGCTTCTAGTAATGTTGAATAAGTATGTTCTTAATTTAAATTTGAAAAATTGTAATCATATATTTAATGCATAGTAGTCAATCCCGAATAGCAGCACGGAACAGTCAATCTCAAAAACTCTATAGTGGGGATAGCGGTAGCGGGATGAACGCTATTCTGAATTTTAATACACACATATACATGCTGAAAAATATATAATTAATACACAAATTTGGAACAAAATAAAAAAGGAAAACTCAAATCAGAAAAGAAAATAAATAACAAACAGCGAAGGGTGTAGAAACAGTCATTACTTCTACTTTAAGCTTTGAAATTTGAAACAACAAAGTAGGAGAATCAAAATAGAAAAGGAAATCAAATAGAAAAAAAAAATGTCCAATCACCGGAAAATATGCATGTTCGCCGAAAAGTTTCGGAGATATAGAAGATGACAGGAAAATATCTGGGTGACAATAGAAGTTTCGCTGAATTTGAAAAAGATGACTGAAAACAATTTGGGTCACGTTGGAAGCTTAATTAGAGGTGAAGAAAATGAACAGAAAACGTCTTTGTTGCGTCAAAAGCCTCACCAAAGATGCAGGCCACTAGAAGCAGTGGAATCATAGAGAACAAAGATGAAATAAGAGGAAAAATAATAGAGAGCTGAGAGATGGAAATGAGAAGCTTAGGGCTACAAAAGAGGAAGGGAGAATATATAAAAAAATAAAAAGGGGGCAAAATCCTAAGATTGTCACTCTTAAAAGTCACCTAACATTCAGAAATAGAGGGCAAGTTTGGAATTTCAACAAGAATAGAATAACATCTGCGATTTCCACCATTTTTTGCCACGATTTGCGGCGCAACTGGCACACTTTTGAACCACAAAGCTATTAGGTCTCTATAGCAGCACCATGCTGCTCCATTGTGATACTACTATGATTTTTAGTGTCTTTATATTTTTTATACAAATCTGAATATGTATCCTACATGTATCTTATACCCTATAATTTTAAGAATAATTTATATCAAATACATATCATATTTGTGCATCATAGGTTGTAGAAGAAATCAACTCACAAACACCCCAAGTTACAAATAATAAACTTGTGGTGTCCTAAGTTGGCATACAAGTTATACATACACATAAACAACTAGCAGCTAGTAATGGGGAATTTTTATGGTATATTTTCTATTTTTATTAATTTTTTTTATTTTTCTTTTTTAGTTGTTTGAGTTTGTATTCATTTTTTAAATTTAAATCAACCCAACTCAATCCACTAACCAATTGACATTTTTTGTAGATCACCAATAACATGAAGTGGATTGATTTGACTCACTTTTTCGATCAAGGGGAACCAAGTTAACCCTAGACATTACATTGTTATTGCAGGGATACGAAATGCTTACAAGATTATTGGCTTACTGCTATTAGGTAAGTTGCAAGTTAAAATGGATGCAAATCACAAACTGACCGACATCCAAAAAAAGCACATTTTGGTTTGATTTCAAAGCCATATTAAGGGTGCATTTGGGCAAGCAGTTTAATTAAGTACCTATTTAATAAACTCTTATCACATGAAAAACTATGACCTAAGTTTAATCATGAAATTTATTACAAAAAAAAATTGATAAACTATGAAAAGTTTATTAAACTAAACTGAAAAATGCTTATAAGAATCATAAATTATTTACATATCTGTATATGCTCTTTCAAGCCCTCCCTAAATTTCAATTTAGAAGTAAAGGTGGCACAAGAGCAATGCCTCAATTAGCAGCCATGAGCATATGAGCCTACCAAAATACAGCATATTTGATTAACCTAACTTCACAAAACAATTTAATATAAAATACCAGATAACAATCCCCTCAAAACTACAAGTTTCCCCTCCCCCCCCCCCCCCCCCCCAAAAAAAAAAAAAAAAAAAACTTGATAGCATAATGTGCAAGCCAATTAAGGGATCTATGATAATCCTTCCACAAATAACTATGTTAGTGTCAAGATCTGAATAATACAGAGCGATTATCTGGTGTAAGATCATTATTTTAGATTATCCTAAGAGAGTTCAAGCACAGATAATCATAAACAAAAGTGATAAGGGAAATTCTAATTGTATATTGTATTCTTCATGCATTTTTCTTTAATTGAAATATTGTAAAAAGTTTAAAACATTAAGACTGAAGAAACTTATCATTGTCCAGCAAATTTTAATTTTATATTTCCAAAACTTTGCTGTTGGTGCATCAAGTTCATCCATGGTCATATTCATAAAAAACTGAATCACATGGAAATCAAGATTAAGATTGTTATTATATACATATTCATACCAAAGAAGAGAGTCTTCATTATAGAGTTATACAATACATTCTATTTTTTCTCTCATAAATTAGGTATTTGACATAGCACTCCTTTTCTCACTTATATATACACACACAATATCAGCACTAAGAAAACCCCTTGCCAGGGCACCACTAAGTACTAACTTTACTCTATTACCTAAACTCCTATTGTTTGGATTTATTAAATTCTAAAAAGGATAATTTGAACCTTTAATTAGTCTTTTCCCTGAATCATAGCTTTACTTTTTTAAGATGCCAATGATACTGAAAACAAGCATGCATGGCATTGAATCTCCAAGTGAAAAATTGGGCATACATGTCAGATACAAGAATAAAACCAGCACCTAAGGACCAAGTCCAAGCAGCTTAGGATTTAATACTCCTAGTTCATTACTATTGAAGCAACATTGTAGAACAAAAGTTTTCAACAGACAAAATTTTCCCTTATCTAAAAAGCTAAGATTTTTCATTAATCCATAAATTCAAACAAATGAAGAAAATAGTTGTCCAAAAGAGAAAATCATTTAATTGGTTTAAACAATTATTTTTGAAAAATTAAAATTTATAAAAAAATTAAGGACTTATCGGGAAATAGAAAGATCATAAGAAAAGAAACAACGGATAGAGAGGGAGAGAGAATGTAAGGATAAAAAGGTAATGATCGTTGTTATGAACCATAATATTGCAATACAGAGCACATTTATATGATTAGTTTCTGTTAAAATATACACCACTTTGTCAACAGAAGCAGATTTTGTTTGCCCACTTCACAGCAAAGTAGATTCCATTGCTAGCCTATAGCTATCATAGTAACAAAAGAATACTCACTAGTTGATCCCAAAGCCTTTACATCACAAAAAATTAATATCACCAAATAACAAAAATAAGGATACGAGTCTTGCTGGCTTCAGTAAACTAAACAAAGCACATAACAAAACATCCAGTTTCCAGTATTTTTCATACTGAAGAATGTTTCATTTACTCTAGAAAATAGAAATAAATATGAAATATCTTTCTATAATTTCCCAAATAACAAATTACTTCTCTATACTATGAAGGGTGACTAATAAATGTCACAGGATATGAAACAGATTTCAGACCAGCATAAACAATAAAACCATATTTATAACAACAGTCAAACAAAAATGACTCCTCTTAACAATTACTGTCAGTTACATGCAAACATCATTAGTCAGTGGGTTTGTAGCTCAAAAAGTTCATATCTAGCCCTTTTGTCAGGATCAGGATTGAGCTCAATACTGGTAGGATAAATTTTGGACAAAAACAGAAGCCCTAGATTCATTGGCAAGCTACTGACTGTCCATCAGATATAATATCATTCATGTGTTTTCATCCAACAGCTTAAGTTTTATATATTAGTGAGTTCTTGACATACTCTTCCTTTAAAATATACCTAGGGATTTAAAGGAATTTCAATCCACCAGACCTGGCCTTACCAAGGATGGTGGATAAAGAGGGAAGCACCTCCAATAAGTAAAGTGGCATGACACAGGTGAAAGAGCGCAGAGCAAGATCTGAGAACTATTATGAGAACCATCAACTAAGAGAAACAGTTGAAAAAACTGCAAACTCCCTCAAGAGGTTATTAAGGAGTGATTTCCTTGTGTGTTGTGCATTTAACTTGCAAATTGCTATGATACTGTGGGTTTATATAGAACCAATGAGCATGGTTGAATGTCAGTTATAAAATTTCAGGGGGTAAGCTACGGCTAGGAGAAACAAT